ATTCATAGCTAAAAATGCTTACATTTTGGGACGGAGGGAGTATTGAACAAATGTGAAGACATGCGTTTACTTCCAACTTCCAAGGACAAACGCAAATTGCAAAAATGGGTTATTCAATGGCTCTCTGAAATGATTGGTTCTCTAGCCATACCTGGTCATCAACAATAAGAGATGATCCAAGGGTATTTTAAAATATTTCAAAAGGATGTTTTTTTTTGCTGCCTAGTGGGTCCTCCTATCGGTGCGACCCGATGAGCGATGGTCACGAGCTTGCGACTCGGTGAGGAGGCATGCTTTGCAGTGAAGCCCATAGCCACTGAAGCTCACCAGTGATGAAAAACATGAGCTTAAAGATGATTTTGCATATCTTTGTTAATGGTACCTCTAGTCTCTCTCTCTCTCTCTCTCTCTCCCTTAGTTGTCCTCCAGTGGTACCGGTAGACGGCAATGCGCTAGTACTCCACGACCAATGGATAGTGCTCTAGGGAGAGTGCAATGTCAGAGGGGCATAAATTTGGGCATGGTCACCACTGTGAGCTCCATATCTTTGCATGCCTCGAATCTAATAGGCTTTGTGTCGTGGGCTTCGACAACTTATAGCAACCTTGAAAACACACTAGGTGGAAAATCCAGGTAAGCAGGTTATGTAGACATGTTCAGATAAGCTGCAAGTTATTAGGCTCATAAAAAGCAGAACCCCAAAAAAATGGCTATGAGGGCAATATTTGGATTGGTGCTAATTTGGATTCTATTAATATTTTGATAACTTCGACAATACTTTGGTGGAATTTGGATTAAGACCGATTTTTTCCTAGGTGGTAGCAAATCTACTCTGTCAAATTTGGTAGTGCCTAGGTTTTGACACTATCAACGTTTTGGTAGGGCTTCAAACCAAACCAACATTGAATTTGTTACTTTATGCCTTGGCCTATTGAATCGTTCTTGTTGAATTCATCCCTTCAAAATTGGGCCTTGTTGGATGGATGAATAATGTATTATATGATTTTGTGATAATATTTAAATTTACAAATGGATAAATTAACTACTCTAAAGTTAAAAGGTTGTTTTAGGAAAAAAATATTCTAAGCAATTTTTATATATTTTTTTTCAAAAAATTTACCATCTAGGAGAACATAAGCCAATTATATTAAGATCGTGGAGGAATTTTACATAACCTTACAAAGCCAACAAGTTGCAAGCATGCAGCCTGATGGGAGCCGAGCAAGACACACCTGCAAAATTTGTTGTGACTTTATTAGGGGAAAGCTACAATTTTACCTAAGGGTTGCCCCCGTCAGTCCCGTAGCACGCCATGTCCACCAGTTTTTTTGTGATGGCTAACCCACTTAGCGATCTGCTAACACCATCGAAGGTGTTTCGCTATCTGCAAATTATCGAAGTGACTAGGCTGATGGTCGTGTCGAGCACTGCTCTACTTTGTTTTGCCATGGCTTGCCATGCTTGGGACCACCAATTATTGATGATATGCTATACCTATGGCCCAATTGAGAAATTCAGTTGTTTAATATTCTCCTGAACCCGTTGGGTGTATGGATATTGGGTGAACAAGTGTGCACAAATCTGGCAATGCGACAGTCGACACATAAGGGATGGTATGGACAACTTGGCTAGACACAAGGTTGTGTTTGTCCGATGTTAGGTGACTGCCCCTTGTTGCTAAGAACACGAAGAACTTTGCATCTACGTGGGATTTTTGCTTTTCCGAATGAATTTGCCACATGGAGCCAATGTTTTTCCCAAGGAAAACTATCCGATAAGCAGATGTAAATGAACACTATTCATTCGAATTGGACTTCCGACTTAGTTCGTTGGTGGCATTCGATTTCAGGTCGATATTTACCGAGACCACCAACAAATTGGGGTACTCCAACAATGTCTGCTTAGAGAGAAGCCGCGGGTGTCGGCGTGTCGCGCATCCATTGATTATTGTGCATCGTTGCACCCCTAATCTCCTATCCCTTGGAACAAAAGAGAATATGGCAGGGTTGTGCCCAAGGTAATCTATAATTCACAGGGGGTCTAAGATCAAATTCAATGGCTCTCTATGAATGTCTGCAACTCAAAGAATCAATAAACATGCTGCACTATCATTCTATGATCTATCAGCACTTCATTATCAGAACATGTCAACACCTGTTGAGCTTCTATTAACTAAATAATACTTACTCAAAGAATGTTCCGTGGTGCATAGATCTCGAGGGTCTAATATCGAGCACGTTAGGACACATCCTAACTCCACAAATGAATGCAAATGGTGAGTTGGTGACCGGAACAAGGAGTGGGAAACGACGGTGATGAAGATACAAGCTGTGCTCGAGCTTGACGTGTGCGCTAAGGCTGCTAGGGCGCTGGATGCTGCCAACCCTGCTCGCTCGCGGAGTCACGAGCACGGCCACCGCAGTATGAAAAGCGCCGAAGACGCGGGCTTAAGCCTGACGAGCATGGTGGCCAATTGACGAGGTGTACTGGAACGTGGTGTTTTGGCTTGGCCGGATGCTCGATGCTGCATACCCAACAAATCACTAATCAGGCCCCGTTCGAATCTCCAACAAAAGTTGGATAAACTTTTAGATAAACGTGGCACGTTTTTCAAACTATTAAACGGTGCGTTTTGTGCGAAAACTTTCTATATGTAAGTTGTTCTAAAATATCATATTAATTTATTTTTTAAGTTTGTAATAATTAAAACTCAATTAATCATATGTTATTACCATCTCAATTCATTTTTCAAGTTTATAATAATTAAAACTCAATTAATCACACGTCATTACCATCTCATTTTACATAAAACATTTAATTTTATTTCATCTTCATGACTCAAACACCACCTCAGTGTTCACCCGTGCAGCGTGCCCAGCTAGGGCAAAGCAGTGGAACTGACCGCCCAGGAGAATGACGTACGACTTCACCAGCGCCGGTGGCACGTGCAAAAGGCGCAACAAGCGCAACAAGCGAGAGGCCTTCCTTCGCAGCCGTGGCGCGGGGGCCCTGCGACGACAACGACGCGGCCGGTTTCCGCAGCCACGAGCCGCTCACCCATCCGCCACGAGCGCATCTCCGTCAACCTCCCACAGGGCAATCACAGCCGCGGTGACGTGACTCGTGAGAGGCGGCAGTTGGGCTGGATGGCCCCCCGGGCCACCCGGTCCCAGGCGGCGGCGACACCTCACCGCGCTGATCCACACCCAACGGACGCGGATGCTCTCTGACGCCAACGCGCGCGGCCGGACGGAATAAACAGATCGGATAATGGCGGAGATGTGTTCATCCGAGCATCTGACCGTCCGAGCCCGAGCCACGTTTCCTGGCTCTCCAAGGACCAAGGGGCTTTCGGCGATGCGGTTCAGCAGAAACGGCCTTCCTCTCGTCGGTTTCGAAGCGCGGGCGGTGGGCCCACCACTGGCCCACGCACATCTCTCCCGTTGCGTCTAGACGCTTTTTTTTTTCATGTGACGAAAAATGAACTAATACCGGATAAAATGATACGGCTACAACTCATTTTGCAGCCTATCTTTGTTCGTCGATTAATGATTTCTCCATTTGCAATTATAGCCTTTTCTTTTTTTCTCTCGTTATCAGCGACTTCGTAAGATTACGGAAATACATTACAACTTTCAGTAATTTATTTCCATTAAACTTCTTTTGCCTTTTGAATCGAGAGCACAAGATCTACTTTCTTTTGTGGAGGAATTTCATCGATGTCATCTGTGAAGTGTTGCTGTATGGATTACCATCAGCTTTGAGTCCGTGTTTAGTTCCAAAATAATTCTTTAAACTTCTAACTTTTTTATCACATCAAAACTTTTCTACACACATAAACTTTTAATTTCAACTAGAGGTGAAAGTGGTTCGGATAGTTTCCGTCCGTCTGGACCATTTTTCGGATTCGGATAGTTTCGGTCGGAACTATCCGGAAATTCCCGGATTCGGAAACGAATTCGGATTTTTTTCTCGGAACGAAAACGAATACAGTAAGGGTACTATCTGTCGGAATCGAAAAACGGTCGGAACTATCCGGATTTTTATCTGTTGGAATCGGAATACGGTCGGAACTATCCGGATTTTTTTTATATCCGCAGACATTGAGCAAATTTAAAAAAAAAACGTATATATACATAACTTTTTCATACGGAATCAGATGGAGACAAACTTTATATCAACATTGTAGAGCTCGATGAGATCTACAACTTTCTTATTGATTATTTTATTATTTGAGGTCATTTAAGGAGTCTAAATATTCATTATAATATACCATATTAATTTTTACAAGATCTCAGAACTGCAATTCAAACAACAACATCTGATGGAGATGTGTTCCATATCAAAGTTGTAGAACTCAACGGGATCTACCACTTTGTAGTTTATAACAGTTGTATTTGAAAGCATTTAAAGTATAAAACAAACATTACAAGTTTCGAAGATGTGAAGTAAAATAAATAACATCTCCAATTTATACAATGGTAAGTAAGTTATACATCTAGTAAAAGGTCTTGAGAATAGAAAATGATAATCATATTTGCATATGGATCTCTAAGAGCAATAGCCATGAAAATCGATTTTCACATAGGGTTGTGGGATCGTCTATAAAATTGACGATATAAATGTTGGAGATGTTGAACTAAAATAATAAGCGATATCTTTTCCTTAATCAAGAAACTCAATTTGAGGGGTTTTTTATATACTGGTAAATATTCGCTATCGTATTCGTTCCGTCTCGTATTCGCTCCGTATCTGTATTCGATAATATTCGATTTCATTTCCGTATCCGAGTTTTCGATTCCGATTTCAATTCAAAAAAAATAAAAACAAATATGATAATTCCATCCGTTTTCGATCCGATTTCATTCCTAATTTCAACCAAACACGACCTGAGTTCAGGTCCGTGGTCCGTCTCTCGCCGTCTCGCGGTCTCGCTCGGTTTCCCCCTCCGAATTCCGAATTTCCGATCCCCACGGTGGCGTCTCCCTATATCTTTCGTCAACCAATCAAAAGGAAACTCGAAGCGTATCGGCTTCATCGCCAATCGATGATGCGACGATGCTGATCTGATCATCTGAACCCAACAAAATTTCTCCTTCAAAACCTGCAAGCTCACCTTCTTCTCCCCCAGCTCTCTCCTCCGATCATTTGCCCAACCACCACCCAGCCCGCCAGCCGTGCGAGCGCAGCTTTCCTATTTAAGCCGCGCCTCGCTGGCTCGCTGCCGCTGCCCCTGCCTCTTCCCCGAATGCTGGTCTCTCGTCGCCCCGTCCCCTGGAATCTCTCCCTTTCTACCTTGGTCCGGGACCGCGGCTCCTGAAATCTCTCTCTGTCCCTAGAAATTTCTGCGCGCGTCTTCCGTTCTTCTCCCCGGTTTGGTTGGTTCCCGAGCCTGTGACCTCGGGGGCGGCCGAAAGGTTGGATTTTGTAGAGCAGGCTTTACTTGCATCTGGGCAAAGATTGGATTTTTTTTGTGGAGCGATTTTGGGGTCGTTGTTTTTTGGTGCTTGTTTGCTGAAGTTTGGATTTTGGGAGGAGTTTGGGGGGGGGGGGGGGGGGTTCGGTCAGATTTGGTGGGAGCGGAGGGCATGACGATCGATTTGTCCATGCCCGGGAGCTCCGGGCTCCTGGACGACGTAGGGGGGAAGAAGCACATGAATTTCTTCAGCAACCGCTACGTGCTCGCGCTCACGGGCGCCGCAGGAATCGGCGGGTTCCTCTTTGGCTACGACACAGGTATATGGTTGCATGTGTGCCATTTACCTTCCAACTTTTGCCTGAACGTTTCATCAAGTGTAGCTGTTCTCGATGAATTTCCCCTCGCAGTAATAAGCGACATGTTTTTGGTTGCTTTGGACTTGTTGGGTTACTTCATTTTCATATGATGAAACATTCAGATGGTGTTTGGTCCAATTTGATATTTGACAGTATGTTCAGGAAGCCTATGGTTAGATATCATTGATACAAACAAACAAAGTTTGAAGTGGAAGTCTGAAATGAGATTTATGAATAGTGGACTTATTTTGTTGAGTTCGTGCTATGATCTCTACAGTACTGCATAAAGATAGATATTAATTTTAGCAGCGGGATGAAATCAATGCTTGCATCATTCTTATTAATTTCTAGCAAAATCTTCGAGTGTGTGTAACTTCACAGAATTACTGTACTGTATACTTTTGCCAAAAAAAAAAAAGAAAAGAAGAGAAGACAGTATGATAAATTTGTGCTCTTAGCTAAGAAATTTATTCTATCAGGTGTCATATCTGGAGCCCTTTTGTATATTCGGGATGACTTTCCAGCAGTCAGAGACAATTATTTCTTACAGGTTCAATCTAATCTAGTACAAATTACTGGTCATTAACCATATGGCACGCCTGCACCAACTGATTTTGGTTCTTCCGTAGGAGACAATCGTTAGCATGGCATTGGTAGGAGCCATCATTGGAGCAGCTGGCGGCGGCTGGATCAATGATACATACGGCCGTAGGAAGTCTACTCTTGTGGCTGACATGCTGTTTGCACTTGGCTCACTTGTTATGTGTGCTGCTGGTGGTCCTTACATTCTGATTCTTGGAAGGCTTCTTGTTGGCTTGGGTGTGGGTATAGCATCAGTCACAGCGCCAGTTTACATTGCTGAAGCTGCTCCTTCGGAAATTAGGGGAGGTTTGGTGTCAACTAATGTACTCATGATTACTGGTGGTCAATTCTTCTCCTACCTCATCAATCTTGGCTTTACTGAGGTAGACATTCAACCTCCATTTAATTAGCATATTTTATTCCATTATTCCTACACATTAGCAGTTTTCAGTTTAAGTTCTTTTAACATTCAACTATAAACGGAACAAGTTCAAGCTGAAAACATTGCAGTTGAAATTTTTTTATTGAGCTTCCACAAACCAGGTCTTGCACTGCCATGGGGAACTTAACTGTTAACTGCAACTAAGTATATATATGAGCTCGCATCATATCTTTAATGAAAAAATAACAAGCTTGGGGTCGGTACTCTTGCACAAGAACCATGGAAAAGCTGCACATGTTATGTTATTCAAGATGAACTCCCTTGAGAAAGGATTTCAGCATCAATGCCATGTTTATACTACCTTTTTCTCCTTTTCATATATTTACCTTTTATGGTATTAACATTCCTGTTGGTGCTAGTTAACTGTGTAACACTTAATTAGCAATGAACAAGAGTCAGCTTCCTTGCCAGCAGCAATGGATGAATCACCAACAAGGTGTTGTTTGGTGCGTAGCCACTCTAGTGTTAATGCTCCATCTTTCTGTTTCTGAAATTCACTGCAGTATATACATCATTCTGTTTTCTTTTTTCTTAAATGAACTTCCTGTATTTATCTGAAATGCACATTTTATCCCTTGGCACATCATATGATTTTGTGATTTCAGTAGCCTATTCACTGTTTGTTCTTGAAGTACCACTTTACTTACCTGAGGATGAAAAATTATGTGTCATTTGAATCAAATAATTCAGTCAAGTAGAACCTTATAAAGCAATGACCAACAATATTAAATTATCATTGTGCGTCTCCTTATAATTTGACTTGGGGTTTCATAATCTTGATGCATAACAAATCCTGCATTATTAGAAAACAATATAAGATGTCCTATAAAAGAAGATATACAACCATCTTTCTTGAGAGTTATAGTGGAGATATTCGTAAGCTGGTAATACATTAGTACGAGTAGTTGCAAACTTGCAATGATATGCATGCTACATGTCATAGGTTCCTGGAACATGGCGCTGGATGCTCGGAGTTGCTGCTGTGCCTGCAATTCTACAGTTTGTTCTGATGCTTTTTTTGCCAGAATCTCCCCGTTGGCTTTTCTGGAAGGTTATATTTTAAGCTTTTATTCAGTCATGTATTATCTCCTTTTATCTGCATTTTGTTGTTACATTAACTTTTCTTTACAGGATGAGAAAGCAAAAGCTATTTCTGTCCTAGAGAAGATTTATGACTCTGACCGTCTAGAGGAAGAGGTAGAGCTTCTTGCTTCTTCTTCAATGCATGAATTTCAGTCTGATGGTACTGGGAGCTATTTGGACATTTTCAAGTCAAAGGAACTAAGGCTAGCATTTTTTGCTGGAGCTGGTCTTCAGGTATGTTCATCATCTAGCATTCTAGCCCACTCATTTTAGGTATGTCTTAGTCCCTTAGACTCTTAGTCACCAGGGAGATAAACGGTTCACTGTGCTAAGTGCATTCCTCAAGGAGCATTTGATTTATGCATCCTGTTGGTAACTACATGGAGTTTTCTCCCCTAAGACATGTTAATCTGTGCAGGCGTTCCAGCAATTTACTGGCATCAACACTGTCATGTACTACAGCCCAACAATTGTCCAGATGGCTGGGTTTACCTCCAACAAGTTGGCATTGCTCCTTTCCCTCATAGTCGCTGGTATGAATGCCGCTGGGACCATTGTTGGAATCTACCTGATTGACCGCTGTGGCCGGCGTCGCCTGGCCCTTACAAGCTTGGCTGGTGTGGTGGTCTCCCTCGCCATCCTAGCAATGGCCTTCATACTGCAGTCATCATCAGATATCTGTTCGAATGCACTCAATGGTGCCTGCCAAGGTGCACTGGGATGGTTCGCGGTGGCGGGACTCGCTCTATACATCGCCTTCTTCTCCCCAGGCATGGGGCCAGTTCCATGGGCAGTGAACTCCGAGATCTACCCCGAGGCATACCGTGGAATGTGTGGTGGCATGTCAGCCACTGTCAACTGGGTATCTAACCTGATTGTGGCACAAACATTCCTCTCGATCGTCGGGTTGGTTGGGACCGGCCTGACCTTCCTGATCATCGCCGGAATAGCGGTGCTGGCCTTCATCTTCGTGGCTCTCTACGTGCCGGAGACTAAAGGCCTCAGCTTTGAGCAGGTTGAGCTCCTGTGGAAGGAGAGAGCATGGGGAAACCAGGGCAATCGCCAGAGCCTTTTGGGCGCTGCACCGTAGTGAGCCAGCTCTCATCCTGCTTGCCCTTGCTGGCAAGGGTCGGTGGCTGGCTCCCTTTTTAAGATGGCCGTGCCACCCTCAGTTTCTATCGGCTCTCTCTAGCTGGGAAGTTTTAGGAAGATCTGGATGCAGACCAAATTTTATTACGTGGTAGCGACTAGATCATTGTTCTGTCACCTGGCATGTATTGTCAATTTCTCATGGTGGAAACTGGGATAATTTCAGCATTGGGTGGGTGAAGAATCAGGTTGTGTTGGTGTCGAATCTTGTATACATGGGAAGGACTGTACGAGCTATACTGGTTGTGCATTGCCGTCACAAGTGTATAGTTCCGGTGCTAGATGTGCCGGGGAGACGGTTAAAAACCTGTTATGGACAGAAACAGGAATGAAAATTATCGCTTTAATATTCTTGCTCGTTATTCCTCCACCAGGTGTATCTGACTTGGCAAACCTTGAGAGTTATATGCAGATGATGTATTTTGTAACTAATGTGTCTGTACAATGGAATTTTCTTTTCTTTTCTCCATTTTTACCTGTCTGACAGGATCTAGTATGGCGCAAGATTTGTTGCCAGGAAATGGTTTGTTAAGCAGAACATAGATCATCAGAGGAGGCTTCTTGAGCTGACATTACATAGAAGATGATCACCATAAATTATTCTGGCGAAGAGCTATATTTTTTTTTATGTTACCATATGCATTAGGATATTCCACTTTTAGTAATCACCACTACTGATTCAGACGAAGCACACGACTAGCTTGGAGGCATATATTCAGAACTTCAGATACGATATAGGAGTACCTACCAGGAAACACGTACAAACCAGCAGTACTGTGATACTGTCCGATCTTTCCTCTGAATGCGGACGAAGGTGTTGTACATTTGTCTGCTTCCCCCACACCTCTGTTGCTACCTTTTCGTCGTCGTCGTCGCCGGCGGCGGCGAGGAGCCGAGGAGGATCATCCAGTGGATGTGTTGGCCGGCATCTCAGGCGCAGCTCAGCAAGGGTCGGATCGGATCCCCGTCTCCCTCGGAGATGTCCGCCACCGCCTCCCCAGCCTCCGCCCTCCCGTTCCGGGCCGGCAAGTCCGGTGTTTTTCGGCCCGGCCCAACCGTGCGGAGACGCGTTCGTGTCTGTCCTTTTCCGGCCCAGCTTGCGCAACCGAGGCCCATCGGGCGAGATCACCGCCCCCCACCGTCCCGGAGCGCCGGCGTGCGGCGAGCCTCGAGGGCGACGCCGCCTCTCCTCACGAGCCACGACCGTGATGCTCTGAGGCCGAGGCCGAGGCCGACGCCGACGAGGAGGACGAGCCGAACGGCCCGAACCATCCGCCGCCCGCTCGCGTTCAGGGGTAGGAGGGGTTGGGGGGAAGAGTAGTGAATAGTGATCAACAACCAGCCTCCATGGGAAGCCCCCCGCGGCGAGCCAATGCGCTGGGCTGCCTGCCACGGCGGTTGTGCATGTCCATGGGTAAGACCGTAAAGGCGTAAAGAGCAGCTATTTTACCATTGCTGTTTCATACTGAAGTAGCAGTCTAATTTTCACCTTTTTTTGCCTACCATTCTTGCAGCATGTCCATTGAAATTTTGCTCAGTCTTCCTCTTCGATAGGAGAGCATGGCCTCCTGCTTATTCCCTCGTAGTCCTCCCATGCACCGATGAAGTGATTGAGCGAGTCATCTGTTACATTGGGGGTGGTTAAGTGGTTTGCTGGGTTGGGTTGCATTGCAGCCCTGCGGCCTCGAAGGAAGGCACTTCAGATGTTCGATGAAATGCTTCACCTGTAGCCTCCTGCCTGGCACTTTTTCAGGCGCGATGTCCTGAGAGAAGGAAAAATACAGTGCGCCGGATAATTATCGTATCTTGCTTACTGCATTCTTGGCAGTTGGGCTGCACAGTGGTGACTCTATAAGTCAACAATCGTCTGTGGTTGGTTCTGTTGGGGGCAACATCTATAATCTATTGCATAGAATAGCCAATGATCTTTCACTTGTCATCTTTCTTTATTTAGCTGGGGCCACTTTGCGAGGAAAAAAAAAGTATACCATATGTCTATATATACCTCCTATGATGGAATGGAAGTATGCAATGAAGAAGTAGTAATCAAGTGCAAGAAGACGCTAATTCATCTGTAGCTGATGGTGGTTGGAGGCTTTGTGGACTGGAGGGGAAACCCGATAGACAGAAAGGTACATGGAGGAGTCAGAGCTGCATGGTTTATGTTCTGTAAGTTGCTCTACTGAGTCCATTGATTAATATATTGTTCCTGGCTTCTTGCGTTATTTGTGTAATTACTCACTAACAGTAGGTTTTCCTATTGAAATCGAAGTGTTTTTTTATGCTTGTTCTCTCTTGTAGTTCTGTCAGTGGTAACAAACATGGAAAATATTCCAAACATGCTGAATTTGGTTACATATCTCCATGGAACCATGCATATGGGAGTTTCAAGCTCTGCAACCACAGTTACTAACTTCATTGGTGCCACATCTGGATTTGCTTTATTAGGAGCTTTCCTCTCAGACTCGTACATCACTCGCTCTAGAACCATACTACTCTTTGGTCCGTTGGAGTTTCTGGTAATTTGCCTCATGGTCTATTCAACGGTCTATATATTCTGGGTATCATCCATTGAAATTTCTTGATTTCACTTTCTTTTTATCTTTACTAGTGACAGCCTGCCAAGAGAAGGGGAAAAAAAACACAGTACTCGTCGCAGTTATTTTAATCACAGCTAATGAATGTAAACTAATAGCATCATATAGTTACATCAGATGTTGAAAGAAACCCATGAAAATTATTTCACATGTTGCCTCTGTTTTTTCTTCTAACATTATTCTCAGCTGTAATCACACCGATATCGAAAAAGCTGCAGGTTGCCTGAAACTTCAAAAGCTTAGGTTGCTAAATCGTTTTCCCAAGCTCAAAGTAGCTGGGAACTTGGGATACATACAAAACAAGATTCTTACAAGTTGCTAAGGAAAACAATTTTATATCTCCTTCAGAATTAGTTAGGTGTGAATTAAGCCAAAACACCAGATCATATTCTGTTGAACTTTTTTTTTTTTTTGAAAGGAATATATTCTGTTGAATTTTTAACTATGGTTTGGTCATCACCTACTGTGGGTCTGTGGCATAACCTTGATCCGAAGCCTACTTGATAAAGATATTAAAGGACCTCTATGTAAAAAAGTACATCGGCATCTTCTTGTTTGCTTGTGGTTAAATTAGCATTGATTTTCTTCAGACAATTAACTTATAGATACTTTCACTAGTTTAAAACTTAATATCTGGATATAAGTTTCTATCTTTGCTCACAGCCACCGAACAAGTAGTTTCTGCTTCATACTGGTTTAAGTTCCAAGGTAACAATCTACTTGTGCAGGCTCTTGGATTGCTCGCTCTGCAAGCCTACCTCCCCTCACTCCATCCACCACCTTGCAATATTGAAGCAGAGCTAAGCAACTGCGAAGAGGTTCATGGCTTCAACACCGTCATATTGCACATAGGCTTGTACACCTGGGCATTCAGTGAAGGCTGTATCCGTGCTTGCACGCCATCACTTGGAGCAGATCAGTTTGACCATGAAGATCCCTCTGAATCCCGCCAACAATCCAGTTTCTTCAACTGGTTCACCTTTGGAATCTCCTTAGGAGGATTTATAGGATTGATTCTAATAGTGTGGCTCGAGAACTACAAGGGGTGGGACATTGGATTTGGCGTGTGTGCACTGCTAATTCTTCTTGGGTTGCTCATAGTTGCCACTGGCCTCCCTTTCTACCGTAATCAAGTACCAGAAGGAAGCCCTCTAACTCGGATACTGCAGGTTATAAACTTAAACTAGCATGGTGGCCCGCGCAATCATCATCGTTATATTTTTCCCATAAAATACCATATATATATATTCACATTTTATTATTAAAATAGATTGAAATGACAACATAATTTTAAATTATTTATGTACTAACTTGATAAAACTAACCAATGCGCAATATTCATACTGTAATGTATATGCGTGAAAGTTATTTATTGTTTTTTACTTTAGTTATTTCTAAATTTTATTTATATATATAATTTATACTTCTCTTTCAATATTTCTTATCTATTAATTTCATATTTCTGTTATTTTTAAATTGTACTCCTATATGAACAATAGACTGTTCTTCCAATATTTCTTATTTTTAATTATGACTTTATGTTATTTATAAATTGTATTCCTATTTGGAGTCTAGATTCTTCTTCCAATATTTTTTTTAATTTCAAATTTCAATTATCTCTAAATTATATTCCTATATGGACTCTAGACTCTTTTTCCAATCTTCTTTTTTTTTTAAAAAAATTATGAATTTCAGTTATTTCTAAATATATTTTTATATGGACTCTAAACTTTACTTTTAATTTTTCTTATTTTTTATTTTCGACTTTCAATTAGTTCTAAATTCATATATAGGCTCTAGACTCTTCTGTCACTATTCCTTATTTTTTTATTTCGAATTTCTGTTATTTCTAATTGTATTTTTATGGACTCTAAACCCATCTTCTAGTATTCCTTATTTTTAAATTCCAAATTTTAGTTATCTCTAAATTGTACTCTTATATAGAGGTTCCTTTTATTACCAATCTAATATGTTAATTTGTAGCACACAAATTTATTTGTTAGACGATCCTTTGCTATAAGATTATGGCATTCTTGGGTGCCAATTTATTATTGAAGTGGATTCCGGCGGCAAAACTTCCGTCTTGCTAATTTATTGGTAAAGCTGATTGCGGCTGGAAGATTTATGGCTGAATATTTGTGTTTTGCGTTTTGTTTTCATTGCTAGGAGTATCGATCTATTTATTACTACGGGATGAATCGTGTACAATTCAGAACCGTATAAACTAATACCGCCATGGATGCTAATTCCATGAAAGAATCTAATTATGATTGGTTTGTTAACTGTTGTCCGTTTCCTACACTATAACCATACATGAATATTTATTGTTATATCACAGTTCCAAAAAGAATCCTGCCCGTTTGTTTTTTTGCTTCTAATTTTCATCCGATTAAGAGTTGTGATCAGTTTCCTAAACCTATACAATGCGTGCGTGAGTATGTTCCTAGTATGTCATGTTTCCAAAAGAATAATGTCCGTTTGTTTTTTTTTCTTTTTTTCTTTGATTAACGTGGTAATTTTTAGGCCGCGAGAGCGAACGTGGTGGCTCTTTTTTCTATTGCTTTATAGATATAATAGATTTCCATCTCTCAGGAGAAAATCACCATTCCATATCTGCCGCCTATCTGAAAAATTGCCTTTTCCAGGTTCTTGTGGTTGCATTCAAGAACAGGAAATATGAACTTCCCGAGAAACTTGAGGAAGCACAAGAAAACCGTAATGGACTGGATTCTATTGAAGTACCACGTCCTACAAATTTTCTGAAGTAAGCTTCAGCAAGATACACACATTTTTTCAGTTAAGGGTATCACACATCATGCATGGATTTTAAGAGAATATGATTCTTTAGTAAATGTTATAAACTCTTCTGCACACTTTTTTTTTTGCCAGATTTCTTGACAAAGCCTCCATCAACCATGGTGAAGATGGAGCCTGGTCAGTTTGCAGCACAATGAAAGTGGAGGAGACAAAGATTGTTCTTCGAATGCTTCCCCTCTTCATCAGCTCCATGATCGGTTATATCTCAAACCCTCTGCTCCTCACTTTCACTGTGCAACAAGGTAGCATGACAAACACAAGGCTGGGCAAGATACATATCTCCCCCGCGACGCTCTTTGTGATCCCCATCACATTCCAGATGCTAATGCTCGCCGTCTATGATCGCTTCCTTGTTCCGTTCATGCGCAAGCGCACAGGATATGCCTGCGGTATCACTCACCTGCAACGTGTTGGCTTAGGCTTTGCCTCCATGATAGTTGCATCGGCCGTTGCAGCAGTCGTCGAGAGAAAGAGGAAGGAGGCAGCTGTGCAGATGTCCCTCTTCTGGCTTGCACCTCAGTTCTTCTTGCTTGGCGTGTCAGACGTTACATCGTTCGTCGGGCTGCTTGAGTTCTTCAACAGCGAAGCACCAAAGGATATGAAGTCCATTGGCACGGCGCTGTTCTGGTGCGAGCTGGGTCTCGCTTCATGGATGGGCACGTTCCTGGTGGAGCTGGTGAACAAGGCTACGAGGCATGGACACCATAGAGGGTGGCTCGAGGGTACAAGCTTGAACAACAGCCACCTTGACTTGTTTTACTGGGTGGTTGCTGTTATCGGGCTGCTTGGCTTCTTGAATTACCTGTACTGGGCGAAGAAGTATGCCTACCGGCACAATCCACGCATGGTCACCCCATCAGCTGATCAGGACTCACCGTGATAGATTTGATTGCTCTTGAAGCACCATTTACTTCACAGATGCAAAGCAAAAGGTAACCATGTACTGATGTAAGTTGTATCATGCTGTTTGTGTTCAGTTGATTGGCTGGACTTGGTCGTTGATCATTTCGACTCAAATGTACATTTTGTACCATTCCGACCCAAATGTGTGTAAAAGTGGTCGTTTTCTGTGGCAAAATATATCATTCAGAGACAACTCCAATACAACTGTATGTCTATGACCGTACAAAATTTTACTAATGCCCAATTATATCTCTTCCTACTTTCCTGGTACCTCATGGAATTAGTCGTGATATAGCTGCCCCCAGTGCAAGAGACTACTAGTATCAAGAGCAGCATTCAGAGGATCTTCTGAATCTTCTGGCACACAACAAAATCAGTGATGCACTGTTATTTTAATCATCTTTACACACAGAACATCCTTGAAAAACATATTTCATGTCTACTAATTTACAGCACATGAAAACTTCATTGAATAGAGGATCACGTGGACATAAGATATTGAAATTTGTCAAAGCGGCATGTGCATCACAGCTTTACAAGCCGTTTCAGTTTACTGACACTCGTAATTTCAACTCGCAGGACACGCGCGGGGAAGATGTGGCGACCACTCAGAAAATCCAAATTATTCGGGGGAGATCTGCAGCGGTAGCGACAGGCAAGCTCCAGGCTAACCGGAGAGCGGAGATCTGACCAGCTAGCGACGGGACAAGCCACGTAGTAGTAAACACATGCATCATTAGGCTGAGTTTGATCGAGAGTTAGCTGATTATTATGTTTTATTAGCGTATAATTAATTAAATACTAACTATTATAAATTTAAAAGATAGATTTGTATAATTTTTTACGATATTTATATATATATATTTTTATAAAAACACCCAGTTTAATAGTTTGAAAAATATACTCGCGCGTATATTGATATAGTATTAGCTTACCCAAAACCCTCACCCCAACGCAGCCTAAACGTGACGAGATCTTTGGCCACGTCCCGGAGCCCCGCGCGCAGTCCATACGCCGCGTCACCTGAAGAAAAATGTGGGAAATGCACAGGAGACCACGTGAGTATATACACCAAGAGCTAGCTAGCTACTTATATATATTAGCCATCGTCTCCTGATCATGAGATGTCCAGGATATTAATTACTTGTCTCTTCTGAGATTCGAAAACACTCTCCAAACATATAGAGAGATAGGAGCAGCAGCAGTCTGTTTTGTTCGTTAATTTGTGGTACAACGGTGTATATATATGTGCATTAAGGCTGATTTGGAGAAGCATATATAGATGGCACTTGATGAAGGGTATGTAGATTGGAGAGGGAACGCAGTGGATGCAAGGAAGCATGGAGGCACCAAGGCAACAGTCTTTCTCTATGGTAAGCCACTGCATGCATGCACTACACATTTGTGTTTTAACTTTAAGTAGATTTAGTCTTGTCTATTGTTTCTAATCGTTTCTTGTAATAATATATAGCTACACATTAATTTGTGTTTCTTGTTTCTTGTTTAGGGAGATGCATTTAGTCTGACTCTTGTTTTCATATAGTGTAGTGCATGGAAAATAAATTTGTTGTATAGGTAATTTTATCGTCCTTGAGAATGTAACTAGAGGTATATTGTGTCTTGTTGGGTAAATGCATGGAAAATGAATTAGTTGTTTTCATTTAGTCTGTCTCTTGTTTTCATATTTGTTGGATATTGTGTTCTTGCAACCTTTTCTGTGCTTCTTTTTTATGTTAAAAAAACACGAATATTAGGGAAGGATCTAATATCAAATAATTAGAAGAGGTGATGCTTCGAACTCAGATCGTCTAGCCCATCACCTTGTGGAGTTAGCCGAAAGACCCTAGGCGTTTCTCTGTAGGGGGTAAGAACTAAGAATTAAGGATATGAAAGAGGAGAAATCTTCAAGTTTAGAGCGTAAGTAGATCTTCTTTTTAGTTATAACTTTGTAGGATCCGTACGTAATGTTGGATGTGGAGTCACCATATTCAGTCCCAAAAGCTAAAAATTTTCAGCAAATTCAGCATTAGTTTGAACCATAGTAGAATCATCGTCGCTTATTAATTTGATCATTCAAATGGTGCAAATTTGTTACACGCAAGTAAACAAGATTATGACCATCTGTATACTGTTTTGAGCTGGGGGGACGATATGTATGCCCACTGAAATCTGCAGGCCCATGATCGATCAAACATTCTAACAATTTTTAAGAGAGCCTAAATGACAACAGTTAGAATATTTAACTCCAGCATAAAGAACTACAGAACATCCAAAATCTACCGCTCTCGATGACTTTGACACAAAAATCAGTTAAAAGAGGGCTGTGCTAAAATCTAAAAATTTTGCGCAAAATGAAAAGCGTATGTTCATCCCATACTTCTTACAAGAATTTTTTTCGAACGGAAAACGGCACAAGAGTGCGCCTTTTCATTGAATATAGAAGGAGAAAATACAACCCCTAAGGGTAAAGCAAAAAAGACTTTAAGCTATAAACTATACAATGTGTGGGACGAATTCGCGCAATCTTTTTGCCCCTGCTAAGGCCCACAGGCTAGCCTCCTCTTTTATTTTTGCTAGGAGAAGGCCTACCGCCATCTCTTTGTGATCGAAAATCCTACGATTTCTCTCCTTCCAGATTTCTCAGACTACTAGTAGGATGAGGGACCGAAGGCCCTTTTTTGGGATGTTGGGAGTATTTGCTAGGCTTTCCCACCATTGGCGGACTGACCGGGCTTCCTCCCACTGGGACGGCTCCAATTGATGATATCCCACCCATCCGGCAACGTGGTGCCATATTCTCTTTGTGTATCTGCATGTGGCGACAGGATGCAATCCCGTCTTAGCTTCGCAACGACAGAGGGGGCAATGGCCGTTGTTCTGCCAACCTCTTATTGCAAGTCGGTCGGACGTCCAGACTCTATTCTGGATGATGAGCCAGGCATGAAATTTGCATTTCCCCAGGGCCCATGCTTTCCAAATCAAAGAGTTGAGGTTTGTACTTGGCGCCCCCAAGCATTGTGCATGATAGGCCGAAGAGGCTGTATAATGGCCATTGCCTGTGAATTTCCAAACAATCTGATCCGGCTCTTCACTGACTAACTGCACATTTCGGACCGCTTCCCACAAGCGGACCAGCTGTTCCACTAGGTTGACTGTGATGGTTGAGCTTGCGTCAAAGATTAGGTCATGCACCCATGCGTCGTCCTCTTTCCCTTGGCGTAGGGACTTTTTCCTATTTTTGGAGATTGCGTAGACCAATGGCATAAGATCTTTTGGCCTGCGCCCATCAATCCAAGCGGAATCCCAGAAGCATGTCATATTCCCATCACCGACGGTTATCTTTGTTGAGGCAGCGAAGAGGTCTTTGTCGATTTCATCACAAGGCGTGTCCAAACCCACCCACGGCTTGTTCGGATCTTTCCATTCGTGCCAAAGCCATCGCAGTCTGAAGGCCCTTGTGAATTTTTTTAGGTTCAGGACTCCCCAAGCCTCCTGGCTAGTCGGCAAGCACGTCTTTGTCCAATTGACCTTGCATTTTCCCCCAGTGATATCGCCTGTGCCAGCCCAGAGAAAATGACGTCTCTGCTTATCAAGTTGCTCCAGGGATTCTTTCGTCACCTAGGCAGTCAGGAGGTAGATTGGCTGCGCTGAGAGCACAGACTTGACTAGCGTAGTTCTTCCAGCTGCTCCCATGCTTTTCCCCCTCCAACTTGCGACCTTTCCTGAGATTTTGTCAAAAACAAGTTGCAAGTCCATCTTCCGCAATCCTCCAAGAACTAGTGGGAGGCCCAAGTATTTTAAGGGGAAACTTGCCATCATTGCTGGGACACCCTGTAGCACGTCTGTCAGATCTATGTTATCACATCTGATTGCCGCAACTTGGGATTTCTGGAGGTTGGTAACGAGCCCAGTAGCTGTACCGAAACGGTGTAAGATGTCCGCAAAGGCCGTGACATCGTCTCGGGTGGGATCAATGAAGATGACAACATCGTCCGCATACATCGAGGTCCGCAACCGAGTTGTTCTTCCTCGCAACTTTGAAATTGCGCCCAGCTCTGTTGCCTTGGAGAGGATACGCTGTAGAGGGTCGATTGCCAAGATGAAGAGGAGCGGCGAGAGGGGGTCCCCTTGCCAAAGTCCTCTTCCATGTTTGATCCGCCGCCCTGGTGAGCCATTGAGGAGGACTTGAAAGGTGGAAGTGCTTCTTACAAGAATTAAGGTTTAAACAAATAACCGCACCTTGTCCAACAAAAGTGAGAGAGAAGGTTCCGCTTCCAATCTCCTTCGAAAGTTTTAATCAACATTCGAAACAATTACATGGTCCTTGATCTCAACAAATTAATTAACAAGCGATCACAATATTTGCACCATTTGAGAACGTTCAAATTAATAAGCGATAACGTCTTTTTTTTTTCAAACTAATGCTGAATTTGGTGAAAATTTGTAGCTTTTGCACCATTCCTTAAGCCTGTGGCCACCATTTTTTAAGCAACAAAGATCATTGGCACGTCCAGTTACCATCTTCTTAAACGACTACTGTACAAAAGAGTTAATTTTAGAGCTATTAAAGGTCATATAATTTCTATGTAACCGTATCGTTCAGCAAAAGGTTATCCTGAAATACGAGATTACGGATATAAGCTTGTGTTTGGCTCAAAGGGATGGGAACTAATCCCTCACACACACAAAACGGAACAACTCATTAGCACATAATTAATAAAGTATTAGTTTTTTAAAATAAATTAATATTATTTTTAAAAACAACTTTCATGTATTTTTTAAAAAAACACGCGTATTTAACAGTTTAGGATCAAGCATGCGTGTGTAAAACGATATAGTACACTTGGGAAGATGCACCCGGCCAAGAACACAGCCAAGTCATAAGAAAGATCGATCTAGATCATGGATATCAATATATCATATCTGATTATCAGATATCAGTTTGTCAAAAAAAAATGTAACATCAGAAAATATTATCATGATTTGTACGTTTGCTACCACCTAATATAAAGCTGTTCTCTAGTAAGTCATAAGAAGGAACGTTCTAGATCATAGATATTATATCCCATTATCAGAAATCAGTTTGTCAAAAAAATAGTGTAACGTAAAATATTGTCATGATTGGCACGCTCGCTAGCCGAATATGGAACAGCTCCACGCGTAAAAAAAAAAAGAATAAGTGGAAAATCATATAGAACGTGCAGTGGGGAGATGCTAATTGTATAACACTCGAATAATTTAACGGGCATGCAGGACACATCCAACATATCAACATCGAGTGAGTCTTGCAGTAGGATTACATTCCGATCTTCCAAGATTGTTTAAATGAAATAAAGTTATAAAGTACTAATACACGTGGGGCAAATTGATACTATTATATATATAGTCATCCAACTCCAACAGACGATAGGTCGAAGATGAAGTGAAACGTAATTTAACTTGTTAGATATCTTATGGTGAAACCTATTATCTAGGTTAAAGTTTTATATTTGATATGGGTGCTCGTATTTATAGATAATTATTTTTTAAGTATATGTTGATAATACACGTAGTGACTTTCGTTTATCTTAAGATATATCGGTCCAATCTACTCACAAGGAATAAAGTGTACGTGTGTCTATTTATAGGGATGTATAAGGACACCTATGTGTTGTGTTTCACTCGCAATAAAGAAAAGAAAATAGGCCAAAGGATAAAGGACGCAGTGCAAAATCTCTTCCCACACTATGTACCATCTACTTATCTCCATCCACACATCTAAGCATTATTTTTCTATGATTTGGTCTGAAAAGTCTGACGAAAATCTCATGTCCAAGAACCAATATTCATTTTGTCTCCATCAGGGCTAGCAGAGCAATTAAAGGATATCTTTCACTTATTTGGTGCTTGCAACGCAACTACTAATAAAGGCAACAAAAAATATATGAAATAAACCAAAACGACATCACAACTGACAAAGCGTTAGATAACATTCGAGGTAGAGAAAAGACCCGGGGTCTTCTGGCTAGCAACACAAGCTGCGAGCTAGCCGGTCCGGGTTCGAGCCTCATCCCGTCCTGCAATGAGAACCATTTCTACTTATTTCTTTCCCGCAGATGTACATGGTAGGATGCTACTCTAAATTATTTTGACCCCATGCCACATGAATACGTGGTAATTTAAGCTGTAAAAAAAACTAGTACAGTAGAAAACTAGAAATCACCTCCTGTACAGAATATTTCCATCAGGATTCAGAATCAGACCTTAAACTCCTCAAATTAATTCTGAAGAAGAGACAAAAGTAAATTTGAGCAAAGCCTGATAGGCCCCGCACACACAGTCTTCAGAAATTAGATAGCTAGGCCTAATGATATATTTGCATGAATTTCTGATTGGAATCCTATTTTTTGATGGACTTGCATGAATTTTCTGGACAATTCCTAAGTCTGTTATTTAATTATTTATTTATGAGTAAATTTCACAAAATTAAAAGTACTTTGGTCAAATTATCAAAAACTATAAATTTAACACAATACTACATATTTAACACTATTTTTTTTTATCATAGAACTATAGATTTAAGGTAAAATAACACAAAACTATAGTTTTAGTAAAAAAATTATCGTAAAACTACATGTTTAATATCAATTTAATCATAAAACTTGGACATTTACAACTCAAACATAACATTAGTTTAAAAAAATTAAACCCCAAAATATGATGTTTTGTGATAATTTGATTATTAAATATGTAGTTTTATGATACTTAGTTTTAAACCTGTAATTTTGGGATAAATTTGTTGCTAAGTCTATAGTTATGTGATATATGACATTAAATTTGTAGTTTTACGATAATTTGACTAAAGTATATGTAGTTTTTGTGAAATTTACTCTTTATTTATTTATTGCAGTTTTGGTGGCTCTGCGCAGCTGCCCTAACAGCGCAAACTTCAGTTTAGTGGCATACTTCCATCAGACATTGCATCTGGATATTGTTACCTCGTCATCCATGATTACATATCTGGTTGGCGCTGTGTCATTCTTCACTGCGCTGATGAACATCCTCTCAAATGCATATATCAAACCAACCACTGCCATCTTTGTGTTTAGCCCCTTTGTGATCCTGGTAATTTAATTTCTCGTTTCCAACCCGATTTTAGAGAACTGTAATTTGTTTCAATGACTATTTACATGCATGCTATTATAAATGATCAGTTTTAGTTGTACAAAGTTTGAGTTAGGAATAATAAGGCTGAGTTCTTATCCTAGTTTTCCCAACCCACCTGTATTGTTTTCCGCGTGCATGCTTTTCAAACTGCTAAACGGTGTGTTTTATTTTAAAAAATTTCTATACGAAAGTTGTTTTAGAAAATTATATTAATCCATTTTTTTTAAAAAATAGTTAATATATAATTAATCATTTAATCGTGCAATAATACATGCTCCGTTTTACGTGCCGGAGTACTCCTCCCAAACACAATCTAAGTTTAGTAGCAGGTAAAAGATAACTTTATCAAGTTTCATTAGTTGGATAATCAGTTCGAGTTCGAAATTTTAATTCGAACTTAGTTACTTATAGTTAAAAATATTTGATCCCTAAAATTTTAAAATTTAAAATCCATGCGGAATTCGAGTTGAAAGTATCGTATTTCACTGAAAATACTTTGTCATATTAGGAACTCCCGAAGATGCCCTTGCCCTCCGGTCTCTTCACCCCCATTAGCTTCTCCGTGGAGATGATGGAATTCCGGCCGGTCGCCGGATTTCTCCCCGCTCTCTCCGATCGCTGCCACCAGCTACCGGCCATCGGCCGCGCATCCACCGGGATGTGCACTCTTCTCCGCGCTCGCGCGCGGATCTGTCCTCTTTGACCTGGATGACGTGGGATCAAGCGAGAGCGGAGAAGCAGGGCGATCACCGATGGCTACGAGAAGAGTTCGCCGGAGGAGGAGCAGCAGGAGGGAGCCGGGGGGGGGGGGTGGGTGGGTGAGGACGAGCCGGCGAGGTTAAGGAAGATGTAATAGGCAGAATTGGGAGAAAATCGTACTAGGGTGGAGGTGAGTTTACAATGGCATCCCCAAATGTTAGAATCGAACACTTTGGAAGCATATTTTTCGTGTCACTTTCGATTTGCTAACATTTTGTTCGAATGAGTAATCAAATCGAAGCTTTTATTCGCCTAAAAGAATTAGTACAGGATTTTAAGACGAGGGAGATAGTATATGCTTTCAGGACATTTTAAGCTTCTAAGATGAGGAGGTAGGGTTTTTTAAAATGCTGAGTTATAATCAATTTGTGTTTGAAATGCAGGGCTATATGTTGCTAGCATTGCAAGCGCACTTGCCTTCACTCCATCCTCCGATTTGTGAGATAAACAAAGATCCAAGCAAATGTGAGCCAGCGCAAGGCTGGAACTTAACACTGCTCTACTTGAGCTTATTAATGTTTGCCATTGGGGAGGGCTGCATGCGCGATTGCGTACCAGCCCTTGGTGAAGATCAGTTCAGCAATGATGATCCAGAAGCATCGCATCTCAGGAGTAACTTCTTAAGCTGGCTCAAGTCTGCAAACTCTCTTGGAGCACTTATTGGATTGGTATTCCTAGTGTGGATCGAGAAGAATCTGGGTTGGGACATTGGCTTTTTGTTGTGTGCCCTTATTGTTATTGTAGGGCTGCTCATAGCAGCCAGTGGACTGCCTTTCTATGGAATGCGCAAGCTCAATGGAAGTCCTCTAACTAGAATATTGCAGGTAAAAAATCATATGCCACAATTATATACGTTTGTCGGTCTAATTTGGTATGCATGTTAATTATAACGAATTTGTGTATGATTGATTTATTTTGACGCCAACTGGTTAGTGTTGCTTTATATTATCCACGATCCATTTTGTGGAAGTCAAATATATACAAGAAGGATGCTGTTATCCAAGTTATGTTTTATACTCTTTTGTCTGATAGCATTACATTGCATTATTCTACCTTCCATGCTTATTGCTGGAAAGTCACCATGCCTATTTCTAGAAATTTCAGATAACAGATTAATTACAAGCAATAAAGAAATTAGGGCAGTCCTTCCACACATCAATCTAAAACAAAATTGAATGTAGCAAGACAAAGCAAGGAAAACAGAAGATCATATTGTTTTGAAGTTGTATTACTGGTACCTTTCCAGGTTCTTGTCACATCATCAAAGAAGAGGCAGGCTGCTGTTATTCATGTTATTGAGCTGCAAGAGATCAGTACATCAGATCATGTAGATGAGGACGGGGAAGACAAATGTGACAGCAAAAATATTTGGTAAGTTCCCTGATAATAAAAAAATCCCCAGAAAACAATGTATTTCTGAAAACAATGTATGAACTTTTAACTTTTAAATAAATGTTGAGAACCAAGAGTATAATAATTCCTATTTTTGTGGAAATCATAATCTCCATAATACCCTAATATATTTGTGGACAAATCCTGAATACATGACGGGAAAAAACAATTTGTATTTTCTGCAGCACTACTCGAGTTGATGAGAAAACAGAGGCTATTACTCGGATGCTTCCAATCTTCATCAGCTGCATATTCGCCTACTTGCCCTTCACATTGCTCATGACGTTAACCATACAGGTTGGCAGCACGATGGACTCAGGGATAGGAATGATCCAGATACCCTCTGCCTCTCTCATCGCAATCCCAACAACATTTCACATGCTGATGCAACCGTGCTACAGGAGAATCTTGATACCACTGCTGAGGATATTCACAGGCCACACCAATGGTATCACCCCTCTGCAGCACATCGGTGTTGCCTCTGCGTGTGGGATAATGGCAGCATGCATTGCCATGTTGGTGGAAGCAAAGAGGTTGATGGTCGTGGAGCAGCAAGGGCTAACATTAGTAGCTGACGGTGTCCCAATGTCCGTCTTCTGGCTGGTGATGCAGTTCTTCCTGCTAAGCATCATGGATATAGCATATATTGGTGGGCTGGTTCAGTTCATAAAGAGCGAGGCACCTGAAGCAAAGCATATTGCACCAGCAGTGCAGTCTCTTCTGGTCGGAATAGCAGCCTGGTCAGGATGTGCCTTTGTCCAGCTCGTCAACAGAATGACAAGGCTTGGAGACAATGGAAGAGGATGGTTAGATGGAACAAACTTCAACAGGACACGCCTTGATCGCTTCTTCTTGTTATTGGCAACCTTCGAGCTGGTGGCATTTATCAATTATGCATTCTGGGCTAGGAGATATGCCAACAAGAAAAGGGTCAGTACTGTTAGATCAGACGGCGACAATTTTGGAGCTTAAAGATCCAAACAGTATGCAATAGATAGGTAAGAGAAAACAAAGAGTTGTGATTAATTTTCTTTTGTTAGCCTGTCTGTGTTGTATAGATCGTAACAAAGATATCCTATAATCTCCATTGGCTTATGGCAGCTTGACAGAACTTACAAGTTACAATCAATGCAATCTAGCGTACAGTGATGTTATCTCTATCTGTCGCTATCTTGCAAGGCCAGAAAATAGATTTTCAATATTGAAAGTAGTTGCGTAAACTGTGTCTTAGGAAGAACATCAATATTTGTGGTACCTAAACTGATGACTAACAAGGTTTGTAAAAATAGTATAGCTGACTAGTTTACTGAAGAATGAGAGTATGTACTGTACTGACATAAAAGTATCATTTCTGCTTGGTCTTCAAGCTTCAATTATGTCATGTCATAATAAAAATATGTAATTTTATACTAAGAATGAAAAGTTGAAAACATTGTGCTCAATGAATGCCTTCCAATGAAACAAGGATGTCAGCAGGACACCACAAACCTTAGCAGAAAATTATATTTGTTTCTTTCAAATTGAAACCAATCAACAATACAAAGAAGTTGATTTTCTCTGTATATGTGTTGCATGCTCGAAGTTCAGCTTGATGAAATTTAATTGCTTTTGGACAATCACCCATTCAGCTGCCAATGGACAAGTAAATCATTGTTTTAGCCACCATGACCTCTCTAATCTAGTATGGTTAAGGGTGTGGTTGAATTTGAAACCTTTTCTTTTTGCTACTGATGTGCATTTCAGACAATCTGTATTAATTGCATCGGCCCATGATTAAAAATAATAGCTACTCCCTATGCTCCCTTTCACTTGACACTAGATACTATTCATGTACAAACTTTGACCATTCGTCTTTTTTATAAAAAATATTTAAAAATATTTAAGGAGATATTATATTATCAAAGTACTTTGCATGTTAAATATAATTAACTACTTGCATTCATCAAAACATCATAACTTAAAAGTTTTTATTGGTCAAAGATAAAATCAAACTTGTAAACAGTGTCAAGTAAAAGGGAATAATGGGAGTAGCAAATATGTTTTGGTTATCTTTTTTAACCAATAATTTTTAGGGTTTTAGGTTTTAATTTCTCTTGTTTATACTTTTCATATGCGTATCCTGTTCGAGCTGATGCCATCTCCTTGAAGACGCATTGTAGAGTAGTGGATGCTTAGATTAAAAGGTAAAACCACAATTGGGTTGTTCCATGATGGTTAATATGGAGGAAATCAACTGTAAGTTACAAACCTGAGTTTTGGACTGATAATCAAGAGTAATAGTAGGTTAACCTAATTGGTAGAGTTTATTATGTAACTCATGCATAAGCATTTCGTGCTCATAATTTGAGCAGCAATGATTCTCATAGGAAGCGTCTTTAAAGACGACTTCTCAGACCAATTAATAAATTAAGAGCTTAGTTTCAAGATAGTCCAGAATGATGGCTTGGACTTGAAGACATGCATTTTATCTAAGATATTTGTACATCAGTGTCAATGCATGCCAGTGACAGATTGCTTAAAAAAATTGTCAGGATACACCTCCATATTTTGGTTAGTAGGGAGTAGGAACTCTGAATCTGATAGTCAACTTTAGTGTTGGACTGTTGGTGCTTGCAAGTGGTAGGTGACGGCTATACTATTCAAGAATATTTTTTTGTCATTTTGTTTTTCTGACTTCTTCAAATTTGACTTATCCATCTGTGATCAATACCCCTGGGTCCTGAGTCCCTGACTTCAACTGTCTATCTACTATGATTTATACCCCCTTATGCTGCAATGGCCAGGCAGTAATCAAGAGAGAAATATTTGAACTCATCAGAAATATTTGAACTCATCAGAAAAACCATGGCAGTCGGAGGCTTTTTGGACTGGAGGGGAAATCCTATTAATAGAAAGGTGCATGGAGGAGTCAGAGCAGCATGGTTTGTATATTGTAAGTGATTGCCAGTTGACTTGCTTTATCCATGTTTCCTGAATTATGTGATTTTGTCTAGTTACTAGTAATATGCAGACATGTGACGAGTTACTCTTTCCATTTCAAGCTTCTTTTCTTTCTTTAAATCGCTGAAGCATTTTATACATGTTTCGATCTCTTACAGTTCTGACTGTGGTGACAAGCACAGTCAATGTCCCAAACATGCTGAATATGGTTACCTATCTCTATGGAACAATGCATATGGGAATCTCAAGCTCTTCAACTACAGTCACTAATGTTCTTGGTGCCACATCTGGGTTTGCTCTGTTAGGAGCTTTCCTCTCAGACTCTTACATAACTCGAGCTAGAACAATACTCCTCTTTGGTCCATTGGAATTTTTGGTAATTCGCTTTTTGGTTTACTCAACTATCTACATCAAGCCTAATATGATCAAAGGAAACTATTTTTGTTTAATTCTCCGTTGCCAATTACTGTGCGCAAACCTACCAATAATAAAGAAATTGGCATTTTTTTCTGGTAATCTGCTTCTTGGTCTATTCAACCATCTAACGAATTATTGGCAATCATATATGCAGGGCTACGGTTTGCTCGCACTGCAAGCTTACCTTCCCTCTCTCCGTCCACCGCCTTGCAACGCGGAAGCAGAGGCAAGCAGCTGCAGAGAAGTCCATGGCAGGAATGCCGTCCTACTTTACGCAGCGCTGTACATCAGCGCTTTTGGCGATGGCTTCATGCGTGCTTGTATGCCGCCCCTCGGAGCAGACCAGTTCGACCATGAAGACCCCTCCGAGTCCCGCCAGCAGTCCAGCTTCTTCAACTGGTACACCTTCGGAATCTCCTTTGGGGGTTTCATAGGATTGATCCTCATAGTTTGGCTGGAGAACAGCAAAGGGTGGGATGTCGGGTTTGGGGTGTGCGCGTTCCTGATCCTGCTTGGGCTGCTTGTGGTTGCTGCTGGTCTCCCTTTGTACCGCAACCATGTACCCGAAGGAAGTCCGCTAACTCGGATACTCCAGGTAGGTTGTGCTCCTTGTTGGGTCAAAACATGATGTCAACATCAATTCTCAAGAAAAGAGATCCTGTGCATGTTAGTTGACTGCATTCTGATCTATCTATCCCAGGTTCTTGTGGTTGCATTCAAGAACAGGAAGCTTCAACTTCCTGAGAAGCTGGAAGAAGCACAGGAAGAAAGAAGCACTGAGCAAGGAGGCTCTACTGAAGTAACTGAAATAGCTTCTCAAACAAACAGTAGTCTGAAGTATGTTCAACGAAATACTGAGTACTTTTTCTAGACTACTTTGAATACAAAGCAGAAAATATTGGCAATTGAGCATTGTCCTCTTGGCAGAGTGCAATACTAAAATTTTGTCTTTGCATGCATCTTGGCAGATTCCTTGACAAAGCTTGCATCAATGGAGGCAAAGACGGGGCCTGGTCAGTCTGCAGCACGAAGAACGTGGAGGAGACAAAGGCCGTGCTCCGCGTGCTCCCCGTCTTCATCAGCTCCCTGATCGGCTACATGTCGAACCCGCTCCTCTTCACCTTCACCGTGCAGCAGGGCGGCTTGACCAACACCCGGCTGGGGAGGATCCACGTCTCGCCGGCGACGCTCTTCATCATCCCCAGCGCGTTCCAGATGGCGCTGCTCCCGGTGTACGACCGCTTCCTCGTGCCGCTCCTGCGGCGGCGCACGGGCTACGCCAGCGGCGTCACCCACCTGCAGCGCGTCGGCGCCGGGTTCGCCGCCGTGATCCTGGCGTCGGCCATCGCCGCCGTCGTGGAGAGGAAGCGGCGGGCCGACGCCGCGGCGGCGGGGCAGATGTCGCTGTTCTGGCTGGCGCCACAGTTCTTCCTGCTCGGCGTCTCCGACGTGACGTCGTTCCCGGGCCTCCTCGAGCTCTTCAGCAGCGAGGCGCCCCGTGGCATGAAGTCCATCGCGTCGGCGCTGTTCTGGTGCGAGCTCGGCCTCTCGTCGTGGCTCGCCACGCTGCTGGTGCAGGTGGTGAACAGGGCCACGAGGCGGCACGGCGGCGGCGGCGGCGGCGGGTGGCTCGAGGGCGCCACCCTCAACACCAGCCGCCTCGACCTCTTCTACTGGGTCGTCGCCGCCGTCGGGCTGCTTGGCTTCGTCAACTACCTCTACTGGGCGAGCAGGTACATATACCGGCAAGACCCACGCGTCGTCGTCGACGTCGAGCCATCGGCGGATCACGATTCACCTTGAAAAATACCGCGCCTGTAGTGTTGGTCAAACCGTGCCAAAGGATTAGTCAAGTTTTGCGTAGATGTGATTTTGCCTATAGTGCTATTATTAGTCAAACGTCCGTTACTAGCACACACTTTTTTCTAAAAATTTTCGTCCAAAAAAAACTTTAATCGAAAAAAAAATATATGAAAACTTTCATATGAAAAGGTGTGCGCTAAATAGCAATCCTGGTGATTTGGTAGTGATGATCTGTTGGATTCCATCCATTTTATCCCTCCTAGTAATTTGCAGTAGCGAGATGTTATGAGAAGGTAGCCGTCGTGTGTGCTGTGTTTAGCATCATAGCATGTACGTATGGTTGTCCGTGGCAAAGCTATGTAAGATCTGATTTAAACATGGATAAGCATTGTTGTAGCAAGACATATCGGAGTTTCATATACAAGAGAGTAAAACAAGGGCTTCATCTCTACACAAACTTGCGAACGAGGCAATGCAAGTTAGCCAGATCGCTGTACCAACAGTCGCAGCTGCTGCAACGGCTGCAGACACGGCGATCACCAATGCGGGGAGCCCGAACTGCGGCGTGCACGGCGTCGTCGAAATCGGGCATGGGCTCGCCATAGATGCGGCTCCTGTACCGCTTGCCCTGGAAGCGCAGCCTGCTGGTACAGCACGTCGAGCTCAGGCTGCGCGCGCCTGAACTCGTCCCACTGCCGGAACCCGAGCTTGCGCTGCAGCTCTCGGAAGACGCCGACGAGCTCGTGGAGGGAGACGAGCAGCTCGTCCTGCCGCCTCAGCTCGGACTTCCTCACAAACTGGCCGCCGACGACGGCGCGCCTCACGCCGTGGTGGTCCACGGCGCACAGCACGAAGCCTCTCCTGCGGAGCCGGACGCCGCCGCTGGCCATCGTCGCGGCGGTGGTGGCTGCGGTGTAGCATCTGCTGATGCCGCCGCTGCCGCAAGAGGCGATCGGCGCCATGATGAATCGCCTTGGCCGCTGGAGGGATTTCGTTGCCATCGTGTTCCGGGCCTTCTGAGTTCTTGGTGGCACTAATATTTGTGGAGGTTCTAACGAATTCGATTTGTGTACGGTACCGGCAGGATACAGTCCGATCCCGAACCGTAGATACTAGTATAATCTGATGAGTTTATAAATCGGGCAATTTGCTCAAGAAATGAAATTCAACATCCTACAAGGGTTCAGAAAAATGGAGTTGAATTTCACTATCTGCAACATCTGCAGACTGCAGCAGGATGAAGTTGATTGCAACACAGTCTGGCCTGATCAGACTGGTACTCTAATATCCGTGTGCATCTTCTTTCAACTCATCACTCATCAGTAGGAGGTTTACAACAAGATGCCAGGAAGACGGGAGAGGATGGCTGTATGGAGTCATGGAGCCAACTTCAAAACAAGTTGATCACTTGTTACTTGCAGCTTTCAAGCCTATGCAACCAATCGACGAGTACATTTTATTTTTTGACTTATGTTGCCCAATAAGTCTATAAACATTCGACAATGTGAAAGTATGCAAGGATTTGTGCTTAGAAATGTAACACAGTTAGAAGTTTAATATCTTTATATATGCTGCAGGACAATTGCCAATTGCCATCTTACCAGACAGTGATTGGCAATGTCTTCAGAATTCAGATATACTGCTGATCAAATATATCCTTCAATATTCCCATTTCCAGGCAGTAATTCTGCACCCTATTGGACCCAGCTCAATACTTCAGGTCAACACAGGTGCAATCGTTCCATTCGGTTCTTTCCGCCATAACCCTTTTCCGCAGGAAGGCCAGGGCTGTAGATTTTCACATTCATGTGCCTCCAAAACATCGAGTTTCCTGAATGAATCATGCAGGGCAGTCCATGAATAGTTCATATGTTTGAGGAACCTTAGCCGAAGTACAGTCACCTCCCAGGACTTCAAATCACCCAGGTCACTGATGTTACCTCCGCTGATGTAGAGCTTCTTCAATTTTCTCAGCTTTTCAGGACTAACCCAGTGAGGCAATTCTACAAGGGGAAAACAACGGAGCTCCAGCTTCTCAAGACCTAAGGGGAGAACACAAGGCATTGCATGAGGAGCAGCATGACTTGGAGAACTCCCGTGTGTAGATATTGGGTGTGCCCCCCAAATAAGTGTAAGCGACCGGAGAGCACAGAGCTCACCAAAATTCGCAAACTGACCGCTATCTATGCTATAACCAATTCTAATGCTCAGCTTTCGTAACTTTTTTAGCATGACAAGTTCATTGAGATGGCATAGATCTTTGCTCTTGGCGTTTGATAGAACAAATCCCTTCAGAACTTCAAGTTGAAAAAGCTTGCCTAGTCCTTTAGGCATACCTGAGAGCAGGTAACAATCAGAAACGTCCAAGTACTCCAGCTTCACTAGTTTTACTATTTCTTTAGGAAGATCCTCTAGATTATGGCACGCTTTGAGATCAAGAATGACAAGTCTTGAGAGCTTTCCAATTGAGTTCGGAAGGGCCTCAATTCTTGATATGCCTCTCAAACTCAGGTACTTCAACTGCTTGCAGGATTTGACCTGCTTTAGGAACTTGGCATTGTTAATCTCAACGTGATGTGCCCGAGGGTCATAACTTGCATCGTGCCATTGTCCTAACTGCAAAGTGGTCAAACGGTTCTTTTCAGAAAACCATGTCTTGTTTAACTCTACATACTGTTGCTTGATATTGTAAATCGTCAAAACATCAGGATGGAAGTTTGTAAGGATCTTTCCAGCATGCAAGCATGCACGGCGGGTCCTGGTAAAGTCATTCCTGGAGCTGCCATCTGAACTGAGCTCAACAAATGCTTTGCTCTTTGCAGCTTCAATCAGTAGCCCACGGATCCAAGGTTGCACCTTGCACGAGTGGACTTTGTCACAGTGGTATTTCTTTACTGGCGTAATGAACCCATTGGACAGCAGCAATTTATTAAAGAAGCTCTTGCCTTCAGAAACCGAAGTTACAAAACATTCTCCAATCCACCAGTGAATTAACAGTCTCTTCTTGATGATGGCATCCACTGGGAACACAGCAAGGCATAGAAGGCAGTGTCTCAATCTTGTCTCTAGTTCATCAATTATAACTTTGAGCTGCCACATCTGCGCACTTTCCATGGTAATGCAGAAGGTATTTGATGCTGACAACTGATGAGAAGATGAAGCTTCATGTGCTGCAGCCATGCGCATGACATGGCATGAGACCTCCTGGACCTTGAAAGAGTCATCCACCTTTCCCCGTATATTTGTTATCTCTTCATGAATCAACTGGAGCTTGTCTCGCAGACCACCCATCTGGTTAAGTTTTAAGGAACCTTCAACATTCATATGTCCGTCATAAATCTCATCAATATGTTCTTCAATTGCATCAAAGTTACTGTATATTCCGTTCTCTTTCTCTTGAACCATCTGAAGTACATCTTTGAGCTGTGACAAATCATCTCTGATCCTGTCCAACAGAATAAAAGCATCTGATTTATCTTCATGGGCTAAGGTTTCCAACGAGATGCGCCTGAAGGTGTACATGCATGTCAACAATGGTGAGAAGGCTGCTTTGACAATGTGGAAATTATCATTTCCATCCCGCTGCTTCTGCTCAATCTTGTCAAGTACACCTTCCAAGTAATTCACTCCGTGTTTGACTGCATCTAGGAAGCTCAAAGATTCTGATTGATCATTGTATGTGGCCTTAAGGAATGTTAATAATGGTAGTATGAGATCTTCTATTAATCTGAAGTTCTCATAAACCTCATTCTTATTTCTATCAATCAAATCTAGTGCATCCTGTAAGCAGTTGACTTCAGCATCGATCTTGACAAGGATCTTATAGTTCTCAGACTTGTTGTTGCGGGCAGCCGCTTCTGATACTAGATGATTGATAGTTTTCAAAAGTTTCAGTAGCGGGGAGAAGACCTGTTCCACAATGCACCAGCTCCTGTTGTCTGCTTCCTTTCTTGATCGAATGGTGGCTAACACATTCTTTATGCACTGCATCCCACTCTTGATACTTTCCAGGAGATGAGCTTCTGAACCACCTTGTGCAGTCTTGACATATCTAAGTGATTCAAAAAGCTCATGTTCATCAAAATCCAATATCTCATCACCAGCTCCTATTATATTATTGTCTTCAACCCACATCTCATGATACTCCATTGCCCATTTCATTCCCTCAAAAGGTCGAGGATCTCTAGCTGCATTTTGGTATGCTATAGCCAATCTTCTCTGCCACTCGGAGATTGCAAGGCTAACAGACTTAAAACCCTCATAGACCTCCTCCTTGTCTTCTTTAATGCCCTCAAACAATTCTTCGAGATGTTGCACTTCCCATTTGATCTTCTCTGGAAATTCAGGCACTGTAGGACCCTTCTCACCAGTTTCAGATGAGCCCACTGTCCCAAAATAGTGTTGCGCAATTTCAGAAATACGCATCACAAGTGGCTCAAATACATCTTTCTCAATGCTTCTATGGACAAGCATGCTGATCAACAACACAAATACCAAAGATCTAAATATGGATCAAGCCAGTATGGTAGAGAAAGGAGAGTTCAGCTGAAAACTGTTCTGCTTGAAAACAAAAACTGGTTAACAGAGCAATTATGTATATTGGAAAGTGATGAACAGCTAAAAGCTTGAATATTACAGTACCTCTGTTATTTTACAGTGCTCCAGAGTCCAGACCACTCAAACCTATTGTTCTCTGAACCATAGATAGTTGAGAATGCAGTGTCATCTGTTTTTGAAGAACAAGTTAGCAGGTTCATAAACTGAAATTTCATGAGGGAAACCAGGAAGGTGCTCTGCAGGTTCCTACAATCACGAAATAATCCACCAATAATATTCCAATACTGTTCGTCTTTTACTCAGTACTATGAGATATGACAAAGGACCATTGGGAACTCTGGAAAGTGTGGTACAACTATGACTTTTCAATAAAGTATGAAAATGATCCTATCTAGGAAGAAAAGTCACAGCACAACAACCATATAGACTTTGTCTTCACTAAGAAGTTTCCTATGTAATGCACCTAACCGAGCCAAATAAAATAGTTTGGCAGAGAAAACCAAGGCTGCATTAAGTTCCCATCAAACGATGTTCTTCATTCTTTAACATGAACAAGCTCCCCTTCAAGTTTGCGCATAATCCATGGTGATCATATCTCTCAAAGGAAAAGGAAGAAAAAACCCATGTCAGTGGAACATCAACTGCAAGCAATGGTGGAAAAGCTTTACGCTGAGTCTGCGCAGGAGCAGGGTAAGCTGCTTTGCATTGAAAGCCTGCTCCAGGACCTGCATACACTTTTCAGGATGGTCCATAGGAAGATCAGTGGCATCAACGACAGTGCACTTCTCATGATCAGCGCCAACAACGAGCAGTACCACCAGCTTCTACAGAGGCTCTGGTCTCTCACACTTGACATTGATGACATGCTCAACAAGGTCTCTTGCTATCTAACAAAAACAAGGGTCCTCTCAATTCAGGTACACAGCTCATTCATCCTTAGAAGGCTCCCTTTTCGACGCCGCATTGTCCATAAGATCAAACAATCAATAGTTGAATTGCAAGAATGCTATGCACAGACATATAGAATCCGATTCCCAGCCAAACATAGAGATATCAGCACACCTATGGTTTGCCAAGGAGCACATAGCATACGACCAGAAGGGATACTAGGAAGGGAAAAGGAAGTGGATGATGTTCTAACAATGATGCAAGCTGATCATGGCAAAGCTGGCCTGTCAGTGCTTCCCATAACCGGAATGGCTGGAATTGGGAAGACAACCCTTGCTCAGTTAGTGTTCTCACATCCATGGGCTGTCAAGACATTTGGTGATGACCGAATTTGGGTCGTGGTGTCTAGTAGTTTCGATGATATGATAATATTGAGCAGACTAGCAGAATTTCTAAACACCAGGCAATGCAACACAGTGGACTCTGAGAGCCTTCAGTGCCTTGTCAAGCAGCGACTATGCGGGCGAAAGTTTCTTATTGTCTTGGATGATGTTTGGGGTCAGAATCTGCAGAAATGGAAGCTATTGATTGAGGTCCTTGAGAGTGCCAAGTCAGGAAGCAAGATGATTGTGACTAGTCGCGTTCCAGATGTTGTAACAATGACCAACTCTCTCAGACCATACACTTTGAAGCGTCTCTTACCAATCGATTCTTCAAACCTTCTCACACAATGGATGCAAAATTCTGCAGAGTTGCCGCCGCGGCTAATTCCAATAAGAAAAATGATCGCTGACACATGTTGTGGCGTGCCCTCACTACTACTCAGTGCATCAAACAAGCTCAAGAGCATACGGAAGACTGAAGTTGCATGGCAGCATGTCCTGAGCAGATTTGACCTAGTTTTCTACGCAGACCCACTTCTGTTGGATGCAACTTACGTCAGTTATCAACAACTCCCTTCCAATATCCAGCAATGCTTTCTATACTGTTCACTGTTCCCAGTTCATAGCTTTACTCCCGAACAGTTGACTGGCATGTTTGTTGCTGATGATCTCATAAAACTGTCAAGCAGCAAATCTGACATGCATATGTACTTCTCCAAGATAATGACAGAACACTACTATGATGTAATGCAGAAACCTCGACACAAAGCATACGCTATTTACAAGATGCACCCTGGGATGCAACTTCTTGCACAAATGATTAGCAGGGGATTTCACTTAGCAATAGATGCCAGGAAGGAATTAGTTTGGCCTGTAGAAAATGCAAAAAAAAGTGCTCGGTGCCTCTCCTTACTCGTTGACTCGAAGACAACTGAGCTTCCAACAGAATTGTTTGAAATGGGAAATCTGAGGACACTAATCTTGCTCAGAGATGAAAAGATGCTTTTGTCTGACAAGAAGTGCTCAATCACAGACATCCCAGAAGAATTCTGCAAATGTCTGATAGATATGCGTGTACTACACATGCAATCTTGCAGGATCAAAAGAGTACCTAAGTTAATTGGTATGCTTAAAAAATTAGCCTATCTTAATCTCTCCCACAATGATATAGAGATTATACCAGATTCAATATGCAACCTTCAGTTCTTGAAGAATTTCAACCTTTCACGAACTGAGATTGCTGAATTGCCAGAATCAGTTGGAAAGATGCAAGCTTTGCAAGTTTTGGATCTATCTCATTGTGAAAAACTTCTTCATTTGCATGAATCTGTAAGCAATCTTGTGAATCTTCAAATCCTAAACCTTGAAGGCTGTCATTACCTTGCTATTTTACCAAGAAGCATGAAAAACTTGAAAAGTCTTGCCTACCTAAACGTTCTTGAATGTCCTTTACTAACTCAAATGCCCTGTCAGATGAACCAACTTAGAAACCTCGAGATATTGCCAAGGTACATTGCAGCGGAAAATCACGAGCACACCATCTCAGAGTTGCGTCCCTTAGTTAGTTTGAAGGAACTCAGTATTTGCAATATGGAAAATGCTTCTTTTGATGACGCAAGGAATGTAATCCTGCAAAAGAAAAATAGGCTTGTGTCTTTGGCATTAAGTTGGACAGGAAGCTGTACAGATCCTATGATTAGTTCAAAAGCACAGCAAATACTTGAACTTCTTAAGCCAAACCGTGGTTTGAAAGTGTTATGCATTTTCTCATGTCCAGCAAAGAAGCTTCCATCATGGATAACAAGCATGCCAGCATACTTAAAATCACTTACTGAGATCAAGCTAGTTAATTTGGCATGTGAATGCCTACCTCCACTGGGGCAATTACCTCTTCTCAAGATTGTTGAATTAAGTGGAATAAATGCTGTCACACGTGTAGGTGACGAATTCTATGGGGATGATGGCACATTCGCCTCACTGGAGAAACTCTCGTTCTTTCACATGCGCAACCTAGAAATATGGCTTCCATCACAGAGAGAAGCAATTTTCCCAAACCTTCAAGAATTGACTATCACCCAATGCCCAAAATTTAGAGCAGTGCATGTGAAACTCCCAGTTGTCAAAAGCTTAATCATGTTGTTGAACAACGATAAATTGATTGGATCTAGAGGAGCACTGGAAGGTTTCTCTCAAAACCTGAAATCTCTGTCGGTTTCCCTGTGTGACGGGCTATTAGAGTGTTCAGAATGTGAGGGGCTGAGAGAACTTCGAGGTATTGAGGAACTTCATATTTCAAGGTGCACAGAATTGATTTCTTTGCCCCATGGCATGCAGCATTTGTCATTCCTCCGAACCTTGACAATAACAGAGTGCACAAATTTGGAAACTTTCCCAGAATGGTTGAAGAATTTCACCTCTCTGAGATCCTTGCACATATCTAGTTGTCCAAAGCTGCACATACCCAAGAGTTTGAATAATCTGTCGAATCTCGAGATTAGTCTAGAGTGAAGGCCCTCAGTTCCACTTTTGGACAGAAATGTTTATGCAACAAATGTAACAAAATATATACACAATGAATACATAACATTGTTAGTACCAGTCATAGCTTCTGCATTTTTGCAGACAAATTTCTTTGAGATATCATGCTTCTGTCTGGTTCTAATTGATCGTGTTCCTATTTATGGAACATGTGCAAATATGTCCTAACTTGTATATTTAATGGAGTACCCCTCCTTTGTTTTTGATAATAGTCTTGTCTATCAGTGTACACCTCATTTATATTCAAAGTAAAATAAGTGTGTTCTTCCCTCCATATGCCGAGGCCCTGAGAAATGCCCATCTTTACTTTGTACATACAAATACATGCATTTGATTAATCCTAGATTTAGAGAAATTTTAAGCAAGATAGAGATTTTTTGGAACACTTTGATATATAATCAGGGGATGATTAAATCATTTTCAATGCCTCCTTGTCCTATTGCCAGATGAAACAGACCTATACAAGTTTGGACTTTGGATAGAGGAAGTTTATATTTTTCCAAATATTGGAGGCGCATGGTACCTCGTACTTTTTTTGCATTAGAATTTTACTAAGAACGAAGGATAAAACAGTACAAACACGACACAATCAAAACTTCTAAACAAAAACGTACAACCTTCTGGGTGTGCCGAGACCCAGAAGCTGAAATACAAACATACAGAACATTAACGTACTAGCTCAGCTGAACGCCACCCAGGCACCCACAGAGTTCTTCCACACTCCAGGTAAAAGAAGAGGATAGAATCTGCAGTAGCCTGTAAGGAAGAAAAAGTCAACCCATCCCCCCCCCCCAGTTCTTTCGTCATTATGCCTAAAATCAAACAGCCGCACTTTATGGGTAATTTTGCTACGGCCATTGGAGTTACTGACACAGTAATCGCAAAAATGCAGACTTTGCAAGTCTGAAATAGATTGCGAACTCCATTAGTCTCCATCAGATCACGTCGCCGATTGACCAGTCATCTATTGGTCAGCGCGGGCATTTCCTCAAACACCAAGCGTGCGTGGCGCGACGCCCCCTGTGCCCGAGAGTCCAGACAGCACCCACCTCACCTCAATGCCCCCAACTCTCTCTCTCTCTCCTCTCGTACACGGAAGTATAAAAGGACGCACCTCCATCCGCCGTCTTGCCCGGAGCGGATGCCGCCTCGCCGCTCCGCCACTGCATGGCGGAGAGAGAGGTGGTGCTTGAGAGTGATGCCATGACGCTCTCGTCTCTCGTGCCTGATGTTCAGATCGAGCCATCGAGAGTGTTCGAGGAGAGAGTAAAATGGAAAAGAGTAAATTTAAAACTGCAAACAAAACTATCAGTTTGCTACAACATTAGCGACATGTTCAGTTTGCTGTAACAATAGCGTGGAAAATTATCACAAAACTGTAACTTTTACGTTATATGCTGCTACAGTACATATATGTGACAACTGTAGCAGCATATAACATAAAAATTGCAATTTTATGATAATTTTCCGTGCTATTGTTGCAGCAAACTGAAACATGTCGCTAAAGTTGCAGCAAACTGATACATTTATCACTAAAGTTACAGTTTTCTGAAATTTACTCAATGGAAAAAGAAGAGATGGTACTGATGGGCTGGGCCTAAAATGGGGGAAATAACAGGAGTACTGATGGGCTGGGCCCCTCGCCACCTCGTGCCATGCTAGGCCTTAAATTTTAGTAGCCCTAGCCCATCAACGCTCTCTGAACTCTACTCTGAACTGAACACGAGCAATTGACACACGTTCGACTACACGAGTTGCTAATTGCTAGTACTTTGCTACTATTACTTTGCTAGTAGCATCTTACTGTTTGCAGTTGCGAATTTGCAATATTAGACAGTACAAGATTCGATACAAGTTCTGGCTCAGGTGGTCAGTTTTGACTATCAGGCTTGATTCGTTTAATCCCTCTCATGGGATTGATGGGATTTGAAGGGATTTACTCCCTTCGTCCCATAATATAAGGGATTTTAAGTTTTTGTTTGTAACGTTTGACCACTCATCTTATTTAAAATTTTAAATAAGACGAGTGGTCAAACGTTACAAACAAAAAATCAAAATTCCTTATATTGTGGGACGGAGGGAGTATTTCATATGTATTGTGATGTGAAATTACTTCCTTTCAGTTCCTCCAACCTCTCTTTTTTTCTTAGAATTAAACGAACAAGGCCTCAGATGATTCAGCACGTCCAGCAGAACGGGTTGTGCGCCTTGAACGCCTCCACGACGCCGGCGATGGATCCCGCCGAGGCGGCGACGGACACGACGAGGCACCCGGCGCTGAGCGCCTGGAGGGACAGCCACTGCGCGCTCCCCCGCGGCACCCGGCGCTGCGCGATGTACATCTCCACGGGGAAGTAGACGGTGAGCGGCCAGAACGACGCCGCGCCGATGAGCCCCACCATGGAGCCGAAGAACGGGAGCAGCGTGGACGCCGCCGTGGTCACGCACACGAACGCCGTGCGCCACGCCAGACGGAACGGGCTCACCTCGATCTCGGCCAGGGAGCCCACGCGGAGCACCCGCCTCCTCTTGCCCAGCGCCGCGCTCCCGGGCCACGCGCCCGCCGCGGCGCGCCCGTCGAGGAACGCGAACACCGGCTGCGCCACCACCTGGTACGTGCCTACGAGGTGCACCACGACGCCGGCGTTGGCGAGGTCGAGCAGCCAGAAGGGCTCGAAGAACCCGAACCCGGTGAGGAGGTTGTCCGGCGAGTCGTTCCCGAACGCCGCGTACCCGACGCACCCGCACATCAGGTACACCGCCGTCGTCGTCGCCACGCTCACCGCCACCGCTTTCCTCATCACCTTCGTCTCCGTCGACGGCGGCGCCACCGGCTTCACCGTGTCCTGAATGGAACATATCGAACACAAACACACATGCATAGTAATAAGCAATCAAGAAAGATCAAACGGGATACTGAATTAGTGATATCCGGATGAACGGTGACTTGCATGGATCTCGAGGAGGATGAACGAGAAGCCGTATGCGAACGCGATGTTCCCGAACGCCTGGAAGCTCCGCCAAACCTTCTGCATCGAGGTGACGCCGGCGCCGGCGCCGACGAAGACGCCCGTGATGGTGCCCCTGATTCCCCCGTTCGCTGCAAACTCGATCTCAAACATGTCAAGCACTTCAAAAAAACCACAACGAAACAACGAGCCCCTCGCTCCTCACTCACCTACGATCTGCGCGACGCCGAGGGCGATGCCGATGGCGGAGTAGGACAGCGACATGGCGGAGGCGAGCGTGGAGAGCCACCACATCTTGTGGAGGTTGGGGATCTGCGAGAACACGACCTGCAGCGCGCCGTACACCACCATGTACGGCCGGCTCGAGCCGCCGCACGCCTCCCTCTGGTCGTGCCCTCTCACGTGGAAGCACCCCGCCCTCTTGATCGCCCTGCTCGCCGCCGTTCGCCGCGTCGCGCGCGCGCGCGCGCACGCACAAGAAGCGAAGAAAGAAAGCGTAAAGATTCACGGCGAGATGTGGCGCGCGGCGCCGGCGGCGGAGAGAGATCAGAGAAAGGGTTTTGGTTTACTGTACAGCATGCTGATGGAGGAGGCGATGGTGATGCCGACGCAGACGCCGAAGAAGTTGGCGAACTGCAGCACGCCGCAGAGCCTCACCTTGGTCCCGCCGAGGTTGGCGCGGACGGCGTCCATGTAGGTGCGGTTGCGCTGGCCGGTGTACGGGTCGCCGGTGCGGTAGCACTCGACGAGGAGCACGGAGCAGCAGTAGATGACGGCGCCGAACAGCAGCATCACCGCGGGGCCGGCCACCCACCCCAGCTGCGCGACGCCCCACGCCAGCGACAGCACGCCGGACCCGATCACCGCCGTGATGATGTGCGCGCTCGCCGTCCACATGGTGCCCGTCCGCCGCGGCTCCCCGTCGCCGTCGACACCCGCCGCCTTCGATGGCACCATGTGGCCGCCGCGCTCGACGGCGGCCAGGTCGTCGGCGAGCGACATCGCTGGAGATCGAGGAAATGGGAAGCCAAGGAAAGCTAGAACCGGATGCGAAATGGGATTATGGGAGTACGAGGCACAGGTCAGGTGGATTCAAGGCTGGGAATTTAAAGAGTTTGAGATTTGAAAGCTGAAAGTGATTTGGTACTAGGTGGACGCATTTAATGAAGGAGTAAAAGCCTATCGTATGTGGCAATGTATAGCAATACCTTGCCATACTTGGATGCAGCAAGTTTGACATTATTGTATATCACTATAGCTCAACGTGTACAGCCATATTGCTAAAGTTGGCTAACGTAATTATGAGGTGTACTAGAGCACTAAGTGTGGCTGAGAAAAATAACACATGTTTTAACATAATGTAGTGATTTTTTTTTTGGTTATGAGATAAAACTTGTCTAGTGTCAACGTAGAATAGATTCTGTACATATACTATACACCACTGTATAGCTCAATATGTACAGCCATATATTGCTATAGTTGGCTAAGTACGTAATTATTACTATTAGAGCACTAAGTGTGGCTGGGAAAAAAAACGCATTTTTAGCATAGTGTAGTGATTATTTTTTGTTATGAGGAAATCTCTTTTCAACGTAGAATAGATTCTATACATAATACATTGAAGGACCTATTCTAGCAGAAAGTGGGGAGCATCCGATCCTAAACTATATGTGCCCTGGTGCTTTAAATTGAATAATATTACAGTTACCTTTGATTATATTTGACGGGCAGGCCTTTGCCAGGTACGGTGGCCATGGCCTTGCGTTCAACATTCCATATGGAGTATATGTATAAACAAGTTGCAACACAAAAGCATACTCCAATGATTTACACATAAAAAAACTTCATGGATGATCCAACTTTCAACTCGATCTACAAACAACTCTCCACGTCCCAACCAAGAGAACAAGAACAACTAATATTTTACGGTGCTCTTTTTCCAGAGAATAGGAACAAGCTAGTGATAATAGTGGAGGTAATCTTTTTCAAAAAAAAATCAAAAAATAGTGGTAATTTTATACTACCAGTATTTTCGTGCTAGAAAAATGATATCCAACATTGATTTATAAATTCTACCACCAGTAGAAAAATAATATTCTACTACCAGTAATATAATAAATATGATCCATTGGATTAAAAAACAATGATCTAGAATGGTTCTACTAGTAGTAGCTAGATAGCATGGCAAAACACCTCATATTTCCAACATCCACTGTCATGACTTCCCAGCTCAATATACCCAACACTTGTTGCCGCGCTCTCTTACGGTAATTTTTTTCCCTTATGGTTTTCCCTAGCACAGAAACCTTCAAACCACCAACATCATGCATTTTCATCGAATGAAGAATTTGGTAGAGCAAAAGTTGAGCGACACTCACTAGGTAAATAGCTTTGGTGGAGATGCATGTCGTTCAGGTTCAACCTCTTGGGCGTCAGGTGCACCTCAAATAAATACAATAGTTGGCATAGATAATGAAATAAAAAGAACAAGAACAAATAAAATGCTATATAAATTGAAGACGGCAAGGTATGGATAGTTAGCTCCTGGTTGAATTACTCCATTGACCCAATCGAAAGAAATTCAAAAAGGTTGAACAATACTGTGAAGAAACTAAGAAGAGTTCAAAAGCAATGGTCTAACAGAGGGAGGAAAAGAACAAAACCACAATCAAAAGCCTTAGGGGGCGGCGGAGAGGGGCTCAAATTAATATTCAACTCATGAAAAAAGCACATGACGCGTACAAAGAAGCAACAAAAAATTAAGGATGATATAAAAGGATAACCTTTTACACCAAAGTACTGGTGAAAAAAGTCAAGACTCAACAAAATTCAGAAGAGCTTACAATAATGACAACTGAACATAAGTAAACGACTGGAGCACAACAAATTCAGGATTTACAAGTCAAACATCCAACTAATATAATGAGAAACCAACCACAGTTCATCTTTCTCATCTACAAATGGGAGACGACTACAAAGACTAGAAAAGCAACTACAAACAAATTAAAAGCAACGAAAAAACTCTTCCATGAAGCAACTACAAACAAATTAAAAGCAACGAAAAAACTAGCAGAAGTTACGAAACAGAAGACAGACTGATAAGGGGTGTGTGTACACACAATAATAAAAGATACCTCAAATTACGATTAAAAAATATAGAGAAATGGGGATAGAGCCAAAGGAGAAATCGAGAATATTCACCGATATTGTGATGATGAGTTTCAAAAAGATTAATCGTGTGGATCACATCTTATTCCTCTCAAACATATCGAGTGCAAACTGCAGAGAAGTTTAGCCAACACTTGTTGGCTTCCAAGCCCCAACCATGTAAGTAAATTAAGCCAAATGAAACATAATGCAATATTTATAAGTAGAAAAATCATAATATAATAATTTATAACACAAAAGGGTTAGAAAATGGCACACAGTGTGGCATTAACTACCATTCAACGTCTAATTGAATTATATAAATATTTTTTAAAAACAAATACACAAATGATCGATCTACTGTATTTTTATGTCAAAAGGTCTACTGTTTATTAGTAAATTAAATTCATCATAAGCAACACCTGACGTATACAAACCAATATGAAAACTATACCAAAGCAGGCTTACAAAATCTTTTAATTGCAAACCCACATGTTGTTATACATGAAAATTTTTTTTGTTGAACAAACAAAATAGTACTCCCTCCTTCCCTAAATATTTGACGTTGTTGACTTTTTAAAACATGTTTGACTATTCGTCTTATTCAAAAAAATTTAAGTAAGGATTAATTCTTTTCCTATCATTTGATTCATTGTTAAATATACTTTTATGTATACGTATAGTTTTACATATTTCACAAAAGTTTTTAAATAAGACAAACGGTCAAACATATTTAAAAAAGTCAACGGCGTCAAATATTTAGGGACGGAGCAAGTATATTATATAACACCTCCGATTTCACGTGTAACCTGCAGGTAAGAAGGCATATCGGCTCTTACTAAAATTCATCTATTCCAAACATAGCATGAAAACTACACCAATAAAATTAGCAGAAATTTATTTGTACATGTAGCAGGCTTTTGTAGTCCCTGTTTGTCATCTAACCTAGCACAAGTAAATTCTGTACAATTTCTAGAAGTACCTACTTGTACCTATGAGTAAGAATTTGGTGGCATCATATTATCTCTCACCAAAAATTTATGTTCCAAAGAGAGCATTAAAGTGTGTTTGAGGGGAGACAAAAATAGTATCGTGAGCCATTAATTTAGATTAATTGAGTATTAATTATTTTAAACTTAAAAATAGATTAATATGATTACTTAAAGCAATTTTTCGGTAGTTTTTTTTTAAAAAAAAATGTATAGTTTAGTTCGTTAAGAAGTATGCGCACGAAAAATGAAAAATTTGTTCATGTCCAGTTCTTTGTATTGGGATATCTTATCTTTTTTTTTACAAAGGGAGTACGTGAGCTTCTTTCAAATGCTAAATCCCAAGTAACAATAAGTGCCTGTTTAGCACAGTTTCAGCTTCAACTCTCCTAGAACTAAAACACAGTCAAACAGTTTTAGCTTCACCTAAAATGAAAATGGAGCTAGGTGGAGCGTTCTTACAAAATGAACTAAAGAAATGGAGCTGAGTTTAGGAGTTTAGACTGCTGTACGATTCCACTACAGACTTAACTTCTGAAGCTAAATTTAAAAAAGTTAAAGTTCTATCGAACAGACCATTTGGTACATTGATATGCCGGACCGGACATGTTGCTTGATTGCTTCCTCTCCTCACGGTCTCACCTGAGCCTCACAGACGCCGTGCCAATGTGCCTATTGACAGCCACAACACTAGCCGGCCACACCCCAAATCCCTGATCCCTCCTCCCTCTGCTCCCAGCCACAAATCATCGTCGCCACATGAGCAGCAGCAGCCTCCCTTGCTACACTACACATACTCCTACGTGACCGTTACATTCGCCGAAACCGAAACGACACCAACCAACCAAACAGACGCCACCGGATAAACAAAAACGCACGTAGCAGCAGCAGCAGCAGCAGCCGCGATGCTCCTGACGCGCGCCTCCCCCACCTTCCTCCCCTCCACCTCCGCCGCCTCGCCCTCGCCGCAGCAGGCGCCGTCCTCCCCGACCTTCGGGAGGAGCCAGTACCGCCGGGGAGGTGGATTGGTCTCCGTTTCTTCTCCGGTGGCCGGTCAGCGCTGTGCTGCCAGGAGGAGGTCCGTGATGGCGGCGGCCGGCGCGGTCCCCGCGGCGAAGCTGGAGAACGCCGACGCGCTCATCGACTCCGTCGAGACGTTCATATTCGATTGCGACGGTGAGATGGCACACTGATCGCTCGATGGTTTGATTGATTGTGATTTTGTTATGAATTTCGCGTTCTTTTTGTTTGCGTAGGTGTGATTTGGAAGGGCGACAAGCTGATCGACGGAGTGCCGGAGACGCTCGACATGCTCAGATCAAAGGTCCGTCGCAAACTGCAATGATCTTCTCGAACTCCGAGTCCAACTTAGCATTAGCAATCTGCTGGAGTTGAAGCTGATGATGATGGGGTTGTGGCGTTGCAGGGCAAGAGGCTGGTGTTCGTGACGAACAACTCGACCAAGTCGAGGAAGCAATACGGGAAGAAGTTTGAGACGCTGGGACTAAACGTCAATGAGGTAGGATTCATGCCATGAACTGCCAATTTTTCTTTGCCAAATTTTCTTGTCCAACCAATCTGGTCTGATGAGCCTGGAACGCTCTACGCAGGAAGAGATCTTCGCTTCGTCGTTCGCAGCTGCCGCGTACCTGCAGTCCATCGATTTCCCCAAAGACAAGAAGGTATCTAATCTATATCATCATCTTCAGAAGTTTTAACATGTTTTGGTGCAAAGATACGCGCACAACGTTACCATTTTTACTGTTCATGTTCAGCAATTTTGGCAAATAATATTTGCGCAAGGTTAACATTTTTATTGTTCAGGTTTATGTGATTGGAGAGGACGGGATTCTGAAGGAGCTGGAGCTGGCTGGATTTCAGTACCTCGGCGGGCCAGTAAGTTATAAAATTTCTGAACCCATGTTCAGTGCTGCATTCCTGGGACAGATTAACACACATAACAATCATCTTGCAGTCTGATGGAGACAAGAAGATAGAGCTGAAGCCTGGATTTTACATGGAACATGACAAAGATGTAACTACGATCCCTACTTTGGTTTGCAGTAAAATGCGATCATTGCACTGAGAACCATTTGGATTTGTCACAGGTTGGAGCAGTTGTTGTGGGATTCGATCGCTATTTTAACTACTACAAAGTACAGTAAGTTTCTTCTTCTTTCCTCCATTGTCAAGAAGACATGAACATATATGTAAGGCAAGCAGAATCAGATTAGTAGTTCTATCATAATCATGCATCCATTTGATAATTGATGCATGCAAGATGCCTCAGATGATGAATTGATGATTGCAGTTCTTTACCAATGTTGACCAATGCTGTCTGCCTGTGTTGCCAAATCACATCTTAGCTCTCGTGTTCATGTAAATAAGTTTGGCATTAACCAAAACCAATACAAAAGATTTGCTAACTTACAAGTTACAACTAATCAACTTCTGAAGGTACGGGACACTGTGCATTCGTGAGAATCCAGGGTGCCTTTTCATTGCCACAAACCGGGACGCCGTCACCCATCTTACTGATGCCCAAGAGTGGGCAGGTTAGTCAGGCATTCCAGCTCTTCCTACATTAGAATATGATGGATAAATGCTTAAGATGATGAAGATTTTGCCTTCACCAGGTGGAGGGTCAATGGTTGGTGCAATTCTTGGTTCAACTAAACAAGAACCGCTCGTTGTCGGGAAGCCGTCAACATTCATGATGGACTACCTGGCAAAGAAGTGAGAGGCCAACTGTCTCAGCAGCAGTCATGTTTCATCCATCGGTATCAGAAATGTAGCTGGATGGATGGTTTCAGATTCTTACCTTTCTTCTCGTTTACCTCTGTGGCAGGTTTGGGATCACAACATCCCAGATATGCATGGTTGGTGACCGTTTGGATACCGACATCTTGTTTGGCCAAAACGGAGGTTGCAAAACTCTTCTGGTCCTTTCAGGTTCCTTGATCCTCCTCTCCTTCTGAACTATGCATGCTCTGCTGATTTTATGTTAGTACAAGCACCAAGTGTTGGATGCATTTTGCAGGTGTCACTTCTGTACAGATGCTTCAGAGCCCTGACAACTCGATCCAGCCAGATTTCTACACAAACCAAATTTCTGATTTTCTCACCCTCAAAGCAGCAACTGTCTGAAGAAATGGGAAGTAAATGTGTTACAGATGGGCGAGGCCCCTTACTTTTGTATAGGCGGCATCCGCCAATTTTTAGCAACTAAGGTCACAAGGATGCTTTTTCTTTCCACATTGTTTTGTAACCATGAGACAAATGTTTATACACTATTATATGTAACACAAGTGCATATCACAATGGATACTATTGACCACTTGTCCTTAGCTCAAAATCAACAATGAGCAACCATAATTGTTTATAATAAAGAAAAGGGCAGTCAAGTACACAGATAAGCTTGAAGACAACATTGAGTGAGCAAATGAATGGGGCAATCAGAGATATGCAAATTCACAAGGCTGAACCAGGCCTGGGAAAATATAAACACAAATAGAACAGCCAAGACGATGATTCACAAAAGATAAGCATTACTGTCCATGTGGCAGTATCTCCAGGTGGTATTTCACTTAGAACATTACAGATAGCTGCATCACATTCTTATCGGTATCAGCACTGATTCAATAAGAGTTACTAAAGCATTAAAGATGATCCCGAAGAAAGCATTAGAGATGTCAATTAGGCATATGTTGTATACATGTATGTACAGAAGGTTGGTGGGCTGATATGGATGAAATGCTCCAGAAGTAGAACCGCCCCAAAACACATTGTAGGAATTCGATTACCTCAGTAAAAGCAAGAAGAATGCACTGTACAGAGGTAACAAAAAAAAATCTATCTAACAACAAAATTGCATGATGGAAATCTATACAGTCTCAGTTATTTTTTTGTTATGTCTTTATTTTGCTGTTTTCTTTAAGTTGCTCATCAGCGCGCCCAAAGCTTCCTTTATATGTTGGCCCCTTGTTTGCCTCACTTCCTGCGATGTGAGGCGCAGGATCTCAAGACCACGTCCCAGAGTGGCAATCATGGGAACAGAAGGTGCGACCTCAGCAGCACACTCAATCCCGTCTCCATGCATCAGGAGACCAGCGCATGCAGCCATGCTGCAACCAAATGTTGCCCAAGGAGTGATCCTGAAAGGTTGTTTTTGCCTCTTCTGCATTATTTCGTAGAACGAAGTTCGCATAGCCATCAAGCTAGTTCTCTTTGCTGATGAAATTACAGTGTGAGTAACTGCTCGAATCTTCTCCGATGAAGCTGTGAATTGTAAAACGGATGCGTTTGAACTAGCACTAAAAACCCCATTCGATAGGACCTTGCTTAACACGATGGAAGCATGCCTTTGCAGCTGTATTAAGCCATACTTCAGGACCACCGGTGTTTTATAGGGAGCCAGCTTAAGAAAGGCAGATGCCTGTACAGTTTTTGATAAAGATGAAAAGCCCAGAATCGCTGTTCCTCCTGCACCAACTACGACCACAGGTTTCTCAGCTACCCAACTCTTTTTATCTGTGCTGTCAACTGATGATGGCAGCTCATTGTCCTCACTGTCATTTTTATTGCCGTATTGCTTGAAGCAACTGCTGGCTAATTGTGCAATCTCTGAAGGAACAGGGGTATCCCAGTGTCTCCTTATTCCAGCTAAGCAACTGGCATCGACTACAGCCACCACAGAACCAAACTCCCTAACCTGGCTTCTGAGGGCTTGCACAAGAAGAATATGGCATTTCTCCTCAGAGTTGAGTTCTGAAAAATCCAATTTTTTTGAACCATGATTATCTCTGGTGTCAATGTGGCTTCTTCCTGCGTTGTTTAAACCTATCCTGAGGGCTTCTATTGCGATCCTAAATACATACACATCAGACAGCATTTCAGTGGAAATTGGCTTCCCATCATGAACTTGTCTGAGCAATTCCTGAGCAGAAGCCATAGCTTTTCCAATTGACGGAATGTCCACAAATATATCATAAAGATCAGCAAGCAACGGATAAACAGTCTGTGCAAAAGGTGGAGCCTCGTATCTGTCCGATGGCTTGCATTCAGCCAGTTTGCACTCTGAAACACCATCAGAAGAGATAGCCTGGGACATCAACAAATTAACGGTCGGCGCTAGCGACTTCACGAGTTGTCCCCCAATGTCATCCACAAGGCATATCTTCCTGACATGCGAGCTTACGATTGAACTGGTGCTCTGAGTGAGCAAGCAGCTACCCTGTGACTGTCCACCCGTGCCATCATCCGTTGAACTTTGAGCGAGCGAGCAGCGACTCGCCAATTGCTGACCTGAGCCTTCTTCCATGGTAGATTGGCCACCCGATGCGCCGCCATTGCAATTCCTCTCATACGGAGACTCGAGCAAAAGAAAACACGAGCCCGTCTCCTCCGCGGCTCTCTTCGCGGCCAAGACATGGCCGTAGAACCCGACCCCGAAAATCTCCTGCAAGACCTGGCACGCCGCCGCCTTGACGTACTGATCCTTGCTCCTCTTCTCCGTGACGCACCTCTTGATCACCTGGAACGGGGACGCCGGGACGCCGCCGGCCCCGCCGCCCTCGAGGCACTCCTCCTCGGCCCGGACGTCGTCGGCCGCCGTGTGCGCGAGCTGCGTGACCACGGCGGCGGGGCGCACCCGCCTGATCAGGGAGTCGGCGTCGGAGGCCGACCGCTCGGACAGGTTCTGCGCCGCGAGGATGTAGATCACGCCCCCGCGCGAGCCGGAGCCGGGCTCGCGGTCGCGGAGCGCGAGCACGAACTGCTTCGTCTCCTCCGGCACGGGGACGCCCCGCAGCAGCCGCGCGGACGCCCGCAGGTCGTCCTCCCTCAGGAGAGCGGAGAGCGGCCACAGGCTCTGCAGGTAGGTGAGCACCGCCGTGGCCATGGGCGCCGCATCAGCCGCCTCCCGGCGACGAGGAGGAGGGCTACCACCTCCGATCAGAGAGAGAGAGGGGTTGACTCACCCACCCCCTCCTTCCTCCCCTCTCCTCCGGCCTGGATCGCGCGACCGACGGAACAATGCGTCCCGGCCGGTTCTGCGCGAACAGCCTGTCCGCCGCCGCCGCCGCCGCGGTGTCCGGCTGAGATGGGGCGGCGCCGAGGAAGACGAGACTCGAGAGGATACGGGAATTTCGGATGGCGTGTGTCTGCGGAGGCTAGCCCTAGGATTTTTCTTCTTTTTCTTTCTTTTTTTCTTTTTCCTCTTTTCGGTTTTCTCCACCGAGCCGTGTTCTGTTTTCCGGAGGAGACGGACCCTTTTTGAGAGTCGACTTCATCAGAGTTCAGGCTCGGTCCGTGTCGTGCACTCGTACGTGCTCCAAGTCACAAGTCGGCCCGTGGACATATGTGGAGCCCGGAAAGGTTTGTATGCCATGTTAGCATCCTTGTTCGATTATGCTAAAGGTAAAAAGTACACCCAAGATGCCTCAACTTGTTATTGAGTTAACCTCAACCGTAAAACTAGATATATGGTATCTCTCAATTTACAAAACCGTTCACATTAGGTCATTCGGTGGTTTTGAACCCGATTTATCCGATGTGGCGGCTGAGTCAACGTGCGATCCACATGGACCCTACATGTCAGCGAGGCCACATCAACCTCCTCTCTCTTTTCCCCTCTTCTCTCTCTCCCTTCTATGTCCCTTCTCTGCGAGGCACCAGCCTCGGTGGCAGGCGTCAGCGATGAAGGCGGCAACGGGCAACGCGGCAGTGGTGGGGGAGGAGCTGTCGGTGGGCGGCGGAGGAGCAGCGCGTGGCCTCCCCCGCTGGCCGCCGTCCACGAGGTGTTTAATTCTAAGTTATACATGCTCCAGATACACATTTAAACTAGAACATAAGAATTGTAACCATGAATTAATGAGAAACATTTGATCAATTCGCCGCACTACTGATTTGTTCTAGAATTTCTAGAAACAAGGTCTATGTGGGACGGATGGAATAAGAAATATAACTATAACCTTGTTGTCACAAGAACAAGAAGTATAAAACCTCACAAAAAAGATAAAGAGCTCCATATGTTGGATTGCTGCAACGTGAATAGACAAGCACAATAACACCGTTGAAAAACGCAAGCACACACAAAGAACATGACTAAGCATCATCTGACATCTCCGTTCCTGTGACATGTTAGCAATCAATACTACCAGTGCCACGGATTGAATCATCAGCAACCCAATAGACAAACCTTTATAGGTCTCCGTGGAGGATCCACCTAACAAATAGACATCAACGAAGAGATAGAAAAGACAAACTCGAAATAAATCTACCTCTATGTACAAAAGGCAAACTCTATCTAATAGATCCTAAAACAGTAAAATTTGTTTAAGAAAACCCTAAAAACTTACTTGAGTTCATCATATCAATTGTTTGTAGCCCTTATATAATTAATCTATGGTCCAAATTATCTCCTTCCTTTTTTTTCTCTTATTAAGTCATATCACCTCAATTGTTTTTTGCCCATAGATAATTAATCTATGATGCAAATTATCTCCCTTATTTTCTTCTCTTACAAAGCTACATCACTTTAATTTTACATTTGAATCGTTATTTTATATACTATTTAAATTATTGTAAATCACATCAACTTATGTAAGCTTACGTCATCTAGCTATATTACACATTATTTATATTTGTTATCATACTAAATGCCCGCATCAACGCGTAGGGTTTCACCTAGCTTTTACAAAAGGATATGAAACAATAATATAAGAGCAAATGATAAGCCAATAGTTGTGTGCACTCTTGCCCAACCTACATCCCACTGCAAACAACTCCAACAAAGATGCAATCTAAAACTTTTATTAGTACCTTTGTCCACTCAAAAAGTCATCTTACTAGGTCTTTTGGATTTGTATCTTTCTATAGCTGGTATATGGGGTCACCAAAAACAGTGGAAAATAACTCTACTTAGAAGGTCAAAATTTGATCGCACGACATAAGAAGTTAATCGATATATTATAAAGAATCCGCTCAAAATTGTGAACATGTTCAGCTCAAATTGCTGAAGATGCACCTATAGTACAACTATGGTATAAGAAACACAGCTGCTATAGCAGCTGTAGTTGTATAAATGCAATGAAAGGGTACCGGAGATGTCATGTACTGGGATCAATTCCGAAAATAGATTTGTTCAAAGTACGGACACATATTAGTAACCATAACTGAATTCCGGACACATGTCATGCACTAGAGTCGGAGATCCTTGCTCTCAAGGAAGGACTGGCTCTTCCTCTTTAATGGTTTCTCAGGCCGATTGTGGTTGAAACTGACTGTCAGGTAGCGATGCAATGATTCAGTGAAAGGAGAGGGAGTTGTCGGAGATGGCGTTTATTCTCAGGGAAATCAAGAATTAATTCAGCGGTGATAGGGGAGATCCTCCTGTATAAAGCTCATCGGAGCCAAAACCGAGCTAGTCGTAGGTTAGCGAATAAAGCTCGGTGTGAGTATTTGTCAGGCCTGTAGCCAGGGAACAGTTGTATTTTTTTATCATGGGTTGTCAGTGATGACCCCATGTCTGAGTAATTGAGTGCTTTTCCCCGCAAAAAAAATCGCACCATTTTCATACCAGGACGACACAAATATGAGTAGAAGAATATGGCTCTTACAACAAATTCAGTAAGTATTACACTATATAGCAGTGATTATTACCTTTTGTAGATAGGATTTTGCATCTACTTTCACTAATGAAAATTTTGGTGGACAGTGGTCCAAGCAAATTGCTCATGACCACTCTCTATCAAAAGCAACGCTAAAGGCTCAATTCAACGAGCTCTCATAGAGAAAAAGAATAAACTCAAAATGCCACTGTAACGATGGCTAGCTGGTGTGATCGTGTCAGCTGCTCTTCCTTGCGAAAGAGACGGGAATCAATTAGAATATTCGCCTGAGAATTTGCCAGTGTGTTTGGACCTGGACCTAACATGCGTCGAATGGAAAGATTTGAATATACACGCTGGCAACGTGCTCCAATAGGAAGCGAGTAAATGACACACAACAAGTTACTATTATCACTGTAGCACGAATCGCAAAGGAAATGGTCAACAGAGTGAGAGACTATTCCTTCAGACTAGTCGCCACCTCCCAATTCATATGGAGCGAACTTCGAATATGAGTGAGATCTGTTTTGGGCCTCTCTCCCTCGCACATATTTTGTAGGATTCGTTTGAATATAATTTGCGTATCCACCGTTTATGTAATCAATCGCAAATATAGTTCAGAACATTTACAGTAACATGGATAAGTAACAACACCTATGATGACTTCTCTTTCAATAATGAAATAGCAACACATATGGTGATTTTATATTGTAACAATGATAATTATTCACTTGAGTAAATAGATAATGCACCTGTCCGCAAATATATATAAGAATTTTACCTAGACATTATGTAGGTCCAGATACATAAACAAATACATGTATACATAACTTGAATGTGCTATTTTTGAGAATGGAAGTTAGTAAAGTATTACTCCATTTTATATCTTTTTTAGGGGAGAGTATTACTCCATAGCTTGCACATGGAAACACATTATAGTGTGATGGTGCAGTTATAGCATGGCATTATTCATTTTACAGATAAAAAAATTCTGGCGTAAAATGACCAAACTTACCAATTTTTCATCACAGACAGCTGCAAGGAAAAAAAGTTACTACAAATACAAACGTGAACAAGAGAAATCACGAACATCTCAAACAAAAAAAAAAAGAGAAAGAAAGAAACGTGAATAAAATACACGCGAAGCGCACGCCCCGCCTTCGCCGTCCTCCTGCTCCTCTCCCTCTTCCACCTTCCTCCCGCCGGAACTTGACGAAATCTGGGAAGCGAGCCAAGGAGGAGGGGGAGGAGAACCCCGCCGCCACCGCCCGATCTCCCCGTGCGGCGCCGGGCGGGGGGGTGCGGAGCGGGAGCCTCGACCGCGCCGATCCGGACAGGGGCCACCAGATTCGCCCCGCGCGTGTGCCGGCGCCGAGCGCCCAGGCGGCGTTAGATCCCGCCGCCCGGCCCCCCCACCCTCCCCCGTGGTACGGTCGCTGATACGAGGTCCTCTCGGATCTCTCCGTCGTTCAAGCTCACCTGTGATTGTGCTACTTTTTTTTTTGGTTGTTGTTGTGTGTGGTGCTGATTGTGTGATCTAGTATATAGAAGCACGCGCTTGCTGCATTTGGTCGTGATTTATTTTGGATGTTTATTGGCGAAGTTAGCTTCTAGTGATCTGATATGGATTATCTAGCTGATTGGGTGATTTGAAGTTTAGTGCTGGTATTTGTAGTTTACTTCGGTTGATGCTGTCGGCTATGATGTGTTTTGGTGAGATGGGCTGGGTAGCGGTGCTACACATGAATTTGCGAGATTATGTGAATTTAGAGAGAAATGTGTTCAGTTTTCATCGATTAGTTTGCTTAGTTCACAAATGTATTTTTTTGCTGCAGGCATGCAAAGGGATCAGAGGCCACGGCTATAGAGTGATACATATATCTTGCTGCTGTGCTTTTGGGGCCTCCGGTCCTGCTTAGTTAGAGGAGATGCAGAGGAACGGAGTGATGGAATGCAGTGTATGCCACTCCAAGGTGGTGGCTCCGAGCCCCAGGAGTGTGTCGAGGGCATATGACAAGCACCGCAGCAAGATATCGTCCAAGTACCGCGCGCTTAACTTCCTTCTTGTGTCAGGGGACTGCATTTTGGTTGGCCTCCAGGTACTCCACTCTACTTGAAAGTGTTTGACTTCAATGCCAATATGCTGCCAAATTATTGGACATATCTGATTGCCAACCTTTTCAAACCATGCTAATTTTTTACTTTGTATATGCAGCCTATTCTAGTATTTATGTCCAAGGTTGATGGGAAGTTTCAGTTCAGTCCTATCAGTGTCAACTTTTTGACAGAGGTTACAAAAGTTATATTTGCTATTGTAATGCTAATAATCCAGGTTAGTTCTAGCTGATCCGTGCTTTCTACAAGTGTTTTTTTTTAAATGTTCCATCTCTTGTTAGCATGCATGATCCTTCTATGTAATATCAATGTTTTGCACACATAATTTCTGGAATGGCTAATCAAAGCATTTGTTTTGCACACATAATTCACCATTTTCAGTAGACCAACAGTGTAGTCATGGATTTACTATTGGCAGCCTTCCTGGCTCTTGTAGTCTTGTTGTTTTAGTATTTCGCCCTAATGTTGTTATTTGTGTTTGACAGTCTAGAAAACAAAAGGTTGGGGAGAAGCCACTTCTGTCACTTTCAACCTTTGTACAGGTGATTTATCTTGTCAATGCTAGCACAGCATGCACTCTTTGTTGACTGTGCTCAACATGCACACAGATTAGATATATGACTTATGTTTATAGTGTTAACCACAAATTGTTTTTGTCTATTTGTTTTTAATTCCTTAGAAGAAGCTCATTTGTAGTTTTTATTCCTTAATGACTTGCCTTCAGCTTTCCTTTATTTATTTATAACTTTATGCATCAAATTGCTCTAATTCCAGCTTTCTAGTTATGGCAACTTATCATTTGATTCTTGAATCCTTCTCTTTTTAGGCAGCACGTAATAATGCACTCTTAGCTGTTCCTGCTCTCCTATATGCCATCAACAACTACCTAAAGTTCATCATGCAGGTAAATGTTCATTGAACTTTATGAAATCTTGTTTTCCTGCAGTGTATCAGTATTTTATGCTTATGTTAAATACATGTGTTTCAAGGGAAATACAATGCTGTGAAATAATGCTGAAAAGGAGTTTATAGCATATGATGATAAGCTAATGTTCAAAAAGATATAATTATTCAGCTACTAGTAAACTATTTAGAAACTTTTAGTTAATATGAATGCAAAAGAGATGGCCTTAAGTGTTTCTCAAGGCCTCTTGAACTGTTTAATTGTCATTGCAACTTGTCCAATCATTTGAGTTAGTTAATATGAATTTTAATACTTATCAATGTTTCCAAGCCATTGCAGTAGGAATCTATCTAATGAGAGACCAATGATGTTTTAAGATTTTTTTCTAGAGTTCGGATTTGGAGTCTTCCAATCTGATATAGCTTTTGGTCTTGGTTTTAATTTAATCTGCTGTACTGCACATGCAGTTATACTTCAGCCCTGCAACTGTGAAGATGCTAAGCAACCTGAAGGTACCCTCTTTCGCCATTTTTCCCATGCTTTATTCATGTGGTTTTGCAAGATGCGAGTGTGTATTTTCCCTATGTTTGGCAAGAAGCAAGATTTACTAATATCATATTCTTTTATTCCTGATCAAGGTACTCGTCATAGCTATCCTCCTAAAATTCATAATGAGAAGGAAATTCTCTATAATTCAGGTGAGACTGAGATTAGTATTGTGGTCCTTTTATTCCTGAATCTTCCTTGTGGAAAAAAAAAACACAATTAGCCATTACATGTTAAACTGCACAGTGCATGCAGTCTCTATAATTCAGCTAAGAATTTCTCTCATTTAGATGTTTTTTCCTATTAGGCTATTGGTTTGTTATTGTGAATATAGTGCATGCAGTTTCCATGTTTTACTACTGCTAGGATTTTAGAAATCAATAGGCACCATTCGCCTCTTTTCTCAAGGTTTTTGCCTTGCCTTTTGCTGACTATATTTTTGAATTTTTCACAAACTCTGTTAGTACCAATGCAGAATCGTAACTAGCAATGATGGTTGAGTAGTTGACACTTTTAGATGCAGTGCCAAATTAATTAAAAATGGACTTGAAGTCTAGAATGGTACAACAACTTAAACTGAATCAAATCCTAGGGAAAATGTAGAGCAATTATATGTTCTTCAAATGTTTCCAACAATGCTGATCTATGACCCTGTTCTTTTTTTATGGCTATCAGTGGGAAGCCCTTGCTCTGTTGCTTATTGGAATCAGTGTCAATCAACTAAGCTCCATACCTGATGGAACCAAATCTTTTGGTCTTGCAGTCACCACTATTGCATACATATATACACTTATATTTGTAAGTTTTACTCACCTACATAGTATCTTGATCTGTGTAGTTTTCACTATTTTTTCAGCCACCTGAACAAATTTTGAATCGAGATGTTCATATTTATGTTCATTTGAGATTGTAGGTTACTGTCCCATCACTTGCCTCAGTCTACAATGAGTATGCTTTGAAAAGCCAGTTCGACACAAGCATCTATCTTCAGGTGATTTGCACTAAAAAAGTTTGCCTTACAACTCTTTCAAATTACTTATAACACACGCATATAATACTGAAAACAATAAACTGATAAGATCTAGTCCCTTGGTTTTTGATGCTTACCTGTTCACATTTTTTTTCCTTGACTTCTCTCTCCCTTCATTCACACTAACTCTTGGCACAACATGCAGAATTTGTTTCTATATGGTTATGGTGCAATTTTCAACTTCCTTGGCATCCTGGGGACTGTCATATTTCAAGGTAAGCAACTTAGATTCTAAGGTGATGAATATGCTGTTATGCATTATAATGTATTTCAGTATTTGAAAGTCAACATGTGGGGTGACTTAGGCCTGATGGAAAATGGCATGCATGCAATATTCTCATTAGTATTTCAGGTGTTGCAAACAACAGATGTGGTACCCGAGGACTCTTGTGTCTTTTGTGTTGCAAAGCAAAGGAAATTGGATGTCTGTTTAGAGCTTGGTATATGGTTGAATATGTACTTTGAAATCAGTGCGTCTTTTCATCCTGCAAATTTTTATAGCGCTACCAGTCAGAAACTGAAAATCATGCACTGTAGCATGTTTTGTTATTATATTTAAAGTACCGTTCAAGAGGGGAACCCATATAGCCTATGCATGCATCACCTCTTCCAAGCAGCCAGACGGGCATTACTTTGTATTTCGTGTTTAATACTCTGTGTCTCACAAACTGTCGAGTTGGCCAAATCTTACTACCTTCCATTAGTGTCGTACCGTGTCTTATGTTTTGTTTTGGACTATTGGCTATATGTCTATGATATAACTTTGCCCCATTGTTTGCAGGGCCAGAGAGTTTTGACATCCTTCGAGGTCATTCAAGGGCCACAATGTTTCTCATTTGTAACAATGCTGCACAAGGCATTCTCTCTTCATTCTTCTTTAAGTATGCAGGTAAAGGATGGTATACCTGATTTACTCTCTTACACAATCTTGAGTTTCCAATTCTTTGTTTCTGTGTTTCAGTTACATGATGTTATGATTTCCCATGCTTTAGTAACAATTGACTAAAATCGTAATGCAGACACAATTTTGAAGAAGTATTCATCAACCGTGGCCACAATATTTACCGGTCTAGCATCTGCTGCATTTTTGGGACATACCTTGACAGTTAACTTTCTCCTAGGCATCTCAATAGTGTTTATTTCGATGCACCAGGTGATTTTTTATTGTCTATTCTTTAGCCTACTACTTATTGTGTCTTAGTTGAACATATGTAAGTGGCTAAGTGCTGTTCTTGTTCAGTTTTTCTCCCCACTGGCAAAGGTCAAAGATGACAAACCAGCTGGAGCATTAGAACCGGAAGATGCACAGAATCATAGGTAAACATCGCTTGTCCCTTGCATTTATACTTCATATTAATGACATTTGAAGTGAAAGTGTCATGATTTTATGAAATATTTCAGAACATCTAATCTCATAAAACAATTTTGTGTGGCAGGTCATCCGACTCTTCTTTTGTAAATATGACTGCTGGCGCTGCTGATGATGTAAGTGACTCATTGTTTTGTTGAATAAAACCAAGAATGACAACTTTATTTCTCATGGACTTATCTCTTGTGCTGACTATGTTTTCAGGCAAGCCATCTTACTGCAACCGATGAGAGAAAACCATTGTTGCCTATTTAGCCTTCTGTTTGAGGTGAATCTCACACACTTTTCTCATGGACAAATATGTTGCTGTGTCATTTCAGTGTTTGTTGGATGAAAATGTCACTTTGTTACAACTGTAAGCTATCTGTCAGTGAAACTGCATTCGCAAGGAACTGCTTACGATCAGTTTCTGTATTACTGTTAGCGTTAGTTACCTCAGATTGAAATTCAAAACATGGGTTGGGTGGGTGAGGGGTCACCTATTAGAAAGTTTAGACTATGATGGTAGGAGGTGATTTTATAGACCTGGTTGCGGCAACCTGCAGCTGCCATCAGTGAGACTGACAGAGACAGTTGATGATTTGGTGTTATGTACTATTGTCAGTAGCTTCTCTTTTGCTTAGAGTAGAGATGGATGTTAGAGCAGATGCTTGTGACTTTGAAGGCAAGGAGTGCATAATCAGTTGGGTGTAACATAGTTGGAATCAGAGTTCATCTTAGTTATATGACTACTACTAAGATTGGTACTATCTATCACTACTAGTAAGCCAGTTCATGGTTGTAAAACAACAGGTACTCTCATGGGCATGGAATAGAAGCCCTTAGCACCAAAGAAAACTATTTGAGAGCCTAGGCTTACAGCAACCCAAAACTACCTATTTTTTGTTGCAAACAATTTCTATTCCTGTTTGTTGGTATTACAATCAACAGCTTTGTAAGACGTTCATTCTCAATAGCTCTGATAAACTCTTCCATTTGATTCTGCAGGTAGGTATAGAAGAAATTCTTTTTGCCATGAATCACACAGAATTTATGTAGCATGATGAGTAAAATAAACAGTTGTAAACTATAGAATGAAACGAAATATTCATAGCTCCGTTTCAGGTTATCCTATTTTCTCTTCTCTTTTTTTTACCCCAACATTTTTGGGGCAAACATTCGGATGGCAAGACTTCCGACCCTATACAAATACACTCATACTATACAAAGTTCCCTTTGTTCTTTTGGCAAAATCGATGTATGTTAACGGGACACAATTGTACTGAACATTCGTACCATTTATACTACTGAACTGTTTTTTTCCTAACAAGCTCAGTGTTCTGCTCAGTACATTTTTTTTCCTTAGATGATGCATCTTCAGGAGAAAAAAAAAGAAGAGAAACAACTCCATCCAAAATTGAGCGATTTACTGTACTACTAGCATACTCTTGCACGTCTAACTAGCTTGCACACATGGCCTTAATAAGGCCTTCTGTTCTGTTTTTTTCCCCCTATGGACTCCTAAGCTTTGGGAAAGTTTTACCGGTACCAGTTTATATCAACCAGAGGCTTTTTGGATATAGTCTCTCTTCAACTATTACTGCAAGAATTGTATCTCTTGCATGTCTAACTAGCCTGCACAACGCAAGGCATATACACGGTTGATTCACACGAACAAATCAAAATGAACAAGTGCAAAAAAAAAAAAAATCCTCGTGGATCATCAGACCACGCCTTGCTGGTCTCGCACGACGGCGTAGTTGATGACGCGGGCAACGGTGCCCATCGATGGCCGGAACGTAGGGTCGTACTGCAGGCACTGCACCGCGATTCTCCCCAGCTGCATTGTGACATTGCCACACCCTGACGGTTAGAAGTAGAAACCTACTAGAGATACATAGATAGAGATGGTAATGGTTGGGTGCAAAAATGCAATGCAGGTGAATAGTTAAGAGAGAAACCTTGAGAGCTCCGGTAGGAGGATACTTGTCGCCAAGATTGGGGTCGATGCAGTCCTGGACCCTGTCTTCAGTCAAAATTGGAGTTGCCTAGCATATCAAATGGGGCAGGAGATACGCCAGGTCAGAGTCTGAACATTGTGTGATAGCATCATCTTTGTTTCAAGATATACTAGTACTATGCTCGTACTGCCATTGTTTTTGTTTTCGTTGGATTGTGTTGTTTATTTAGGAAAGAAACTGATGCAATTTGTTTCTTGCGTCATAGCACAAATGCATCTCCTACTGTCTTATCGCCTTTGGAAAGTGACCTCCATAAAATTTTAATCAAGGGGCTAGAAGCTTCTGGTTTGAGGTTTATTGAAATTTGGCAGACGAATTGCAGTTTGATAATTGATAAGTACGTGTTCGGTATTCCACAGCTTAGCTATCAGATAAATCTTTCACTAAAAAGCTTTTCAGCTGCTTCTTAGGTGAGAAAGGAAGACCAAGGATGAAAATAGACGAGGTAGGTGACCAATATATTAATGTTCTTTGGGTTAGCTGGTACAACTGAGAGGGAAATGCAGTGATTAAGACAAAGAAAAGGAAATGTGAAAACCAGAAAAGAAAAATGCTTACCCAGTTAACCAGGCTTCTCTGACCCTGCGGCAACGTCCGGTCCAGCGGCTTCCTCCCCGTCAAGAGCTCCAGCAGAACAATCCCAAAACTGTAAACGTCGCTCTTATCGTTCATCTGACCAGTCATGGCATACCTGGAACATCCCCAAACCAACGAAAATTTCAGCAAAATCGTTCGACGACCCAATCCAACAACAAGAAAGCCATGACGAGATCGATCAGCCATGGCCAGACAGAGATCAGCTGGGCTTGTGTGTGTGCGTGCGTGCACGTACTCCGGCGCCTGGTATCCGAAGGAGCCGAGGGTGTGAGTGGAGCGGTTGAGGCGAGCCATGTCGGCGGCCTGGCTGAACATGTTGTAGTCGGCGATCTTGGCCCTGAACCCCTCGAACAGCAGCACGTTGGTGGAACGCACGTCCTTGTGCGTCACCGCCGGCTGCACCTTCTCGTGCAGGTACTCCAGCCCGCGCGCCGCGTCCAGCGCGATCCGCACCCGCTGCTCCCAGCTCACCACCGCCTTCGCCTCCCCGCCCCACCCCTGTCCGTCCCTCGGCCCTGCACACGACGACACACCAATGGTTCAGTCCCAGGCTGATCACACCGTTTAGCAGTTCGGCAAGCGTAGTTGTAAAAAAAAATGAGAGGGAGTGACTGATCCTTAGAAGTAGAGATTGTACCGTGCAGGACGTCGTGGAGGGTGCCCATGGCGGCGTACTCGTAGACCAGCACGCGGAGGTCGCCGCTGATCGTGTACCCCAACAGCCTGACGAAGTTCTCGTGCTTCAGCCGCGACGCCACCGACAGCTGCAGATATATATGGTAAGTAGTAGCAGAGTGAGCATTGGTAAAAAGCACCGAGAAGAGCTACGCACCTGCTTGAGGAAGACGACGTTGGACGCGTGCTTGGACGGCTTCTCGAGCTTCTTGACGACGGCGGGCCTCGCGCCGCGCATGAGGACCCTGTACACCTTCGCGTAGGAGCCCTGCCCGATGAGGTTCTCGTTCGAGAAGGAGTTGGTGATCTCGTTCAGCTCGCGCACGGGCACCTCCGGCACCTCCACTGTCACCACCTCCTCCGCGGCCGCACGGTCCGCTCCTTTCCGTTTATCTGAACACAGTGGAAAAAAGCAAAGATTTCGCTGTTAATCCTTCACGCATGCTAGTAGAAATGGTCGATTGTCTCCTGTTTAATCACTGTCGACTATCACTTATCAAAGCAGAGCTAGAAAGAACACAAGAACGCAAAAGAATATATCGAGGGCCTGTCTACCTGCTGACAGACACGATGAGAATCCCAGAATTGAGCTAATCAAATTACAGCTAACCGGAGTAGAGAAACAGTTGAGAATTCAGCACCAAAAGCAACGTGGTCCAATTGTCAACAAAATGGAGAAAGAAACAACAACAACAACACACACAGAGAGACAAAAACAAAATTACATACCATGATCCACTGGATAAGAGTAAAGATCCTCGGACTCTTTCTTCCCAATCCGAGGTAGGCAGCCGTTGCCTCCCTCCCCGAACAAGCTCCTCACGCTCTCCCACAACCCCATCGCCGGCATCAACTGATGATCAGCTAGCAAGCAGCACGAGTTAACTATCTATAATTAACTCCTCTGGGGTAGGTTTGCACGAGCTCGAGAGGGCGGCTAAGCTGCGGAAAGTAGTCGCCTGCTTATGTATTGCACGGAAATCTATCGATTGATCGCGTTGCTGAAGTTTCGTGCCTAGCCTGTGGACGATATCGCTGCAAGGGAGGCCAGGGCGAGAGGAAGTAGACAAATTTCCGAGACTTTGAAGTGAACCGGCGATATTTAGTCGTCCCAGCCGCCGTGACATCTCGCCGCGGACTTCTTCTTCTTCTGCTTCCCGCCCTTGTAGCGGGGCCCGGCTATCAGCTCTACTACAGTCGTTGGAGTTGAACGACCAAGTCTCGGGCAAATTAGCTCTCGATAGGCTTGCACTGCAGCCTGAAGCCCTGAACCGCCCGGTACGTAGTACGCTGTCGTTGGCGCGGTAGCGTCGCTGTTTGCTAGGTGGGACACCGGGATTCGTCCTACTCGATCTTACGTTATTCCTAACCCAACACACTAGATATGATTTTTATAAACTCCACATCATTGAAAAACTAGTACGAGACATTATCCTTCCAATACAAACACCACTATTCCATACTTAAATTTAATACTACTTATCTCACATGATGTCTTGGATGTTGTGTAGAAACTATGATATGCAAGATATGGTTTCCTTCTCTTTTCTCATTTATTCACTTGCCACATCATTTTTTATTCTAGGTGACAGTTTATTTAATGCTATGAACAATATTCATTGGGTTGGGAATTACCTTACCCCTTTTATGTTATCCCGATCGATCGATAGACTTTGATGACTACATTGACGCGTAGCGTTTCAGAGGAGGGGAAAAGCGTGTGCTTCGCTCGCTGGCGCTGCTTCCATCCACCCGTACGTCGTCCGGTCCCGGTCTGGGGCCTAGCTTGTTACCGTTTCACCGTCGCTTTTGCGTGCGGTTGCACGTTATTTCGGCCTGCGTCTGCGTATGCGTGCGTGCGCGTCGCCAGGCAGAGCTAGCCGCGGCCAACACGCCGCAGCGGGGCACCGGCACGGCAAACGTTCGTAGCAACGCGCGGGCCATATCTCTATCAACGGCCTCGTGGCGGCGGTGCGGCACCGCACGCGGGTGGCGGATCGATCGACCACAACCCCCCCGCATGCAGGTTCGTTGGTTCCACCTGCCTCCCCAGCTCCCCGCGCGTGAGCCCTTGTCGTCGCGGAAGCGCACGCTGCTGCACGGCACGGGCGTCAGTCGTGCGGCGGCCAGGGAATGTAAGCCAATCTCACGCGACGGCGTGACGCGGTGGGCGGTGGTGTGGTGTGGAGCCCGTCTCTCCGGCGCGTACGCGAAGCCGTCGTAAACGTCTCGGTTTTTTGGGGGCTTCACTGGCCGAATCAGCCAGGATCTACGATAGGTACGCGTTTTTTTTTTTTGACGGAGACATGGAATAGTCCACTCCGTAGACGGTATCGTACGGTATACCAGCTACCGGAGTACTATTCTGTACTGGTATGTGACTTTCCAGGCAGCGCCGGTGATCTGAACTCCGAACGCACGGCAGGCTACGATCAGCCAGGTGGACTAACACGCCTACTTATACCGACCATTCCTATTTGTTGTAAAGTTTAATTTGGGTCCTGTGTATGTCTCACGGTAGTTGACTAACACTCGAAAGATGAGGACAAGTATTAGGAGTTAGGAGCACTGTCCATATTCCAATGTGCTGGACAATCAACGTATCGGCAACTTAATTCCTTTCCAACAAGGGGTATTTCATATCCCACGTTGCATGGAAACCGGCCAGCGGCAGATTAGACACGCGGACGAGTTTCGTCATCAGTATCAGAATCCTCGGAAACAAGGTTGAGATGCCACAAAGAATCAAGAATCCATGATTAAATTTTGAGTGGATTCAGTTTCATATCTTATAAATTTTACTTCCTCCGTTTCTTAAATATTTGAAGCCATTGGCTTTTTTTCAATATATTTGACCGTTCATCTTATTAAAAAAATTGAGAGTAACTATATTTATGGCGCCATATTTTTCACCAAAAAATAGTCAGCATGTATTTACATTGCAAGTCCCTAAATTACATATGTAATTTTAGTATATTTACAGTGTAAGTTCTAAAATTACATATGTAAGTCCTGAAATTAGATATGTAATTTTTTTCATGAAAACACATGCTGACGAGATAAGAAATTTGAATTGATTGGCTTCACGATGCAACACGAAACACATAAAGACGTTCAATGCACATGGTATTGCAATCATAGCATGAATCTCAAGGGAGATCAAATTGAACAAGAAATCAACTGTGATTACTCACAAAATGTGTCGACATAATTATAGCAACACCCAAAAAATTTAAGTAATTATTACTACCTCAGTCCCAAAATAAGTGCAGCCGTGAGAATCCGTGTCGAAGGTTTGACCGTCCGTCTTATTTGAAAAACTAGGTGAAACCCCGCGCATTGCTGCGGGAATTTAATATGATAACAATAGAAAAAATAACGTGTCAGATAACTAGATAACATCAGATTAAGTAAATTAATGTGGTTTATGCTAATTTAAATTTAAATAGTATGTAGAATGGTGATTCAAATGTAAAAAGTAAGGTGGTATGACTTTATAGAAGAAGAAAAGTAGGGAGATAGTTTGGACAATTGATATGATATGACTTAATTAGAGAAAAAATAGAAATATAATTTGTACCATAGATTAATCATTTAAGCACTAAGTATCAGTGAGGATGAACTATATAAGTATATAGGATATCATAAAACATAATAAAGATATACGTTGAAACATTACGTGAATTATATTGGATGATAATTTAACATGTTTGTATTTGAAATGCTCTTAAATTATAAAAACTATAAAGATATAATATGTTTGCATGATGTTTAAATGTGATGATTGTTAGTGGATGATAATGTGGCATATTTGCATGTTAAGCTTAAGGAGTTAGTGGGGGATAACTTTATAGTAAGATAGGATTTATGAAAATATTAAAAAAAGTTAGTCACACATAAAGTACTATTTATGTTTTATCATCTACTAACAACAAAAATACTAATCATTGAAAAATTTCAAATAAGACGAGCAGTCAAACATTGGATGTGACCAGTGCAAAACTGCACTTATTTTAGGACGGATGGAGTAATTCTTTTTCTATCATTTGATTCATTGTTAAATATACTTATATGTATACATATAGTTTTACATATTTCACAAAAGTTTTTGAATAAGACGAACGTTTAAACATGTGCTAAAAAGTCAACGGTATCAAATATTTGAAAACGGAGGGAGTAGTGGAGTACTATACTGGCCAAATATTTGTGTGTTGCAGCGGACTATTCAAATCAAAAATAGCAAAAAAGAATTGTGTCCTTGTTGAACAAATACTACATACTAGTCTGTCAAAAAAAACAAACTCTGGCTATGAATCTGGACACATGAATCTGAACACACATGTGTCCAGATTCATAGCTAGGATTGGACTTTTTTGGAACGGAGGGTGTATATACTAGTACTAAGGTCCTGTTTGATTAAGCTTAGGATTATTATAATCTGCATTATTATGAGCAAGCTGAAACAAACAAGTAGATTATTATGCTAGATTATTACAATGTATAAGCCAGATTACTATAATCCAATAATCTCCTCTAGAGGAGCTTTTTCCAGATTATTGAGTGGCTAAAGACCTACTACCCTTAGATGCCTCTAATAATCCAGAAAAACAAACAACTAGTAGCTTATTTTATATCAGCTTATTATAATCCAGCTTAGAGTAATCTGATTTAATAATTCAGATTACAATAATCTTAAGCTGAAACAAACAAGGCCTAAATTCAATTGTCGACACCTTTGTTTGGCACAACTCCTAGCAGTCTAGCTCCTAGACATCCATGAATCCAGCTTTAGGGTTCTTCTAGTGATTTCAGTTCAAATTATAGAAAGTTCTTCGTACATCATGGACTCTTTTATCATGAAGTTTTGGATCTCAAACACAGACCGCGATCCAAATTAATTCCCAGAATAAGGGACTCATTTGCAAAGTTCCAGTACGGGACGTCGAGCAGCCGTTACCCGTTGGATAGAGAAGTGGGCGACTAGGATTGACAGGCGAGGGATATTTGCAGAAAGAACCCTGGGTACTTGGCTATCTTTTAATTGTCTTTCTATGAGATGAACCCCATCTCTCAAGTGTCAAGTCTGCGACCGAGTTCTAAAAAAAAAAAAAAACTGCGAGACCGCAAAGGAAGAACAAAACCCATCAAAACCCTCGTTCGCCGCCGCCGCCGCCGCTCGCCGGCGAAGAACCCCTGAACCCTCCGGTAAGCCCTGGTAGTTAGAAACCGAGTACCTAATCTCATGGCGCTCTTCCTGCGCCGAGGCGCGGCCCTTGCTGCCCGCTCCATCCGCGCAGCCGCCGCATCCTCCGCTTCCACCTCCGTCCACCGCCTACCGTCCGTCGGATCCCTCGCCGGCGCGAGGGAGTTGGCCCCCACGAAGCTGTTCCTCCTGGAGGCCCGGAGAGGCTTCGCGAAGGGGAAGAAATCGAGTAAGATATTCATCCGCTCTCCTCGTGTACTCCCCACTCCCCATTCCTCATTAGATTTTTGTTGAAAAAAAAATCTTTCCTGCCTGTCGATTACTACTTGTATTAGATGTAGTTTTATTGAGTTAATAATTTTCAAATTAGGTTAATGCAGTTGACGTGGGATTTGCAACATAGCTTTGTAGGGCTTAAATGAAAGCATTCACTCTGATGAATCACCCATATTTGTTTTGTTGTATGTGATTAGAGGATGATGGTCGAGGCGATACAGTTCAGGATGCTCCTGACATTGGACCGACTGTCAAATCTGCTGCAACTCAGCAGATGGAGGCAGCCGTTGTTGCATTGTCACGGGAGCTTAGTAAATTGCGAACGGGAAGAGCTTCTCCTGGTACCGTATCGTCGTAATCTCAATCTTTACCATGTCATTGTTTCTTCGGATAGTTCTATCTCTTGAACAGAAGATGCGACGAATTTCTTCTGCAGGTATGCTTGATCACATCATGGTGGAGACTACAGGTGTTAAGGTTGCGTTGAATCGCTTGGCCGTTGTTTCTGTCCTTGATGCACATACCCTATCAGTGATGCCTTATGATCCGAGTGTAAGAGTTTTTCTTGCTTCCTTAATTGTTGCTTTGACAAACCAATAGATTTTGTTGTCACTTCTTTTTTATCCATATTTTATATGTAGAGGATTGTGACTAATTTTCTCAAAATATCATGCTTGGTCGTTGTCATTTTAATCACAAGTTATACAGAAGTCCAATATACTAGCCTTCGTACAAATGTGTTTATTATATGTTTTCTCTCTGGAGGAACAGCGTTACATTGGATCGCTGTTTGTACTTAGGTTTCTGTTGGGGCTTCCTTTGACTTGTTCTAGTATACTCGTGTAGTCAATGAAGTCTATTGAGCATGCGATCATCTCATCTCCATTGGGCATCAATCCAACACCTGATGGCAACAGGATCATAGCAAACATCCCACCGTAAGTGACGCCTATACTGTTTCTAACTATTATTTATTGTGGTTTTCTACTCCACATGTATTGCTGTTGGATTGTTTCTTATCAACCATGCTAGTGATGTTCTGCTGAGTGCTGACCACCTGATAAATCAGCAACTTGGATCTTGTAGACCAGCATGTGAGAATGTAGTTAATTTCCATGGTCATTTTGTACTCGTAGAAATGGTTCAACGATTAATCTGTTGGTTAACTATGGCCCAAAAAATTGCTGGACTTAATATTCAGTAGCACTTTTCTTCTGTTTCCAGTATATGATATGCATATTCCTCTACTCTTAAATTTTCTTTCTTTTGCTAATTTGATTTTTGTGCACTCCCAGGTTGACAAAGGAGAATATACAGGTGAGATTCTAAACTTGAACTTCTTTTATATAGCTGAAATGCTGATTATTTTCTGCATCCACAATATAGGCACTGTGTAAGGTTGTCACTAAATCTGCCGAGGATTTCAAACAAAGTATTAGACGAGCGCGCCAAAAGGTAATAAAACGATAACTTGTGGTGGATCTGGATTACTATTATGCTATGTTCAGAATTTTTAGTTGATTAATGTTTTCAAGCCTTTAGTTGGCATTTCTAGGTGTGAGGCATACATTTTGTTAATACAACCACAGATATTTATTTCCATTTGAAATTGACATCTAATAGACAAGTGTGGTGCAACATAATTTTTGGTGTATTATTGTATACCCTCTTCTCTATAGCATTTTGCCATCCATTAAAATGGGAAGTATTACTTTACTTTAACAAGTTTAGATTGAGTAGTTAAGGTTCATCTGATCTATTTATCTTATAAAATCGGTTCAACTCTCATTGTAGAGTTCTGAAGATAGAATTTCCTATAGCTTCTGATTGTTGACACCAAATATAGTTTCTTCAACATCCTACATTATGTAGAATAAACACTTATTCTTGGACTATCATATCATAATTGGATTAGGTGCATCAATGCTGATGGAGTAGATGATGCATTGTACTATATCTGAATTCTGTATTATTCTTTGTTTCTAGGCACTTGATACGATAAAGAAATCTGCGTCTGGTATGCCGAAGGATGATGTAAAACGACTTGAGAAGGAGGTGAGTAACTGAATTTTGGTGTCCTGGAAATAAAGAAGTCCACATGGTAACAAACATGTACCTGTTATGTACCAGGTTGAAGAATTGACCAAGAAGTTCATAAAGTCAGCAGATGATATGTGCAAGGCTAAGGAGAAGGAAATCTCTGGAAACTGAGGACGTTAATCTGGCAGAAGTTTTTTCTTTTACTTACACAACTTTGATGCCAACGAGTTCACGGGTTGCAATTCTGCAGCAGCCGGGAAGATATATCTTTTTTGTTTGTGCCCGTTCTAACTATGATGTTAGAAATTCGAAACAGTGTGATACCAAGGGCGGCCTGCCCAGCTTGTGACAAAACATTGATTCGGTTGCAAGGCACTCATGAATTCACGAATCGAGAATGAGTTTACCCTAATGTGTGCAACTGCGCATTGATGAGTTTGTTTACCTTAAATCATTAGAATTTCTTCTATCCTTTCTTGGGGTGATCAATCACATTGACAGTGCTTATATGTTCTATATGTCCAATTCTCAGTAGATAAAGTGGTGAGACGCACCGTGAAATTTTGGAAATGATACTGATATTTCAGAGGGAAAGCAACTACAAGCAGTCAGCTAAAACAACTTTAGCCAAGCAAACAACCACCAAAGGCTATACAAACTCCAGGCCCCTGAACCAAAAAGACATCATGGCAAGCCAACCCAAGTACCCAACCCAGCCTTCGAGCTGAAGGCCAGCAGCTGGGCACACCCACTACACTCTTCGCGGTCTCCCACTCCCTCTACGCCCCTACTCTTTACAGGCACGCTCGCTGCGAACTACCAAAGCCTACGGGGAGCAACAAAACACAGGGGCGTCTCACTCCTTCCCTCTCTTGCCGTACACCGCCCTGGTCACCGCCCGGATGCCCCTCACCCACAGCTCCGCCTCCTCCTCGCCGCCCTGGCACACGAAGTGCACCTCCCTCCCCGTCGCCGTCGCCACGCGGAACAGCCCGGGCTCGTACGCGTCGCAGCCCCGCCTCTGCCGGTGCAGCTGGAACGCCGAGCTGCCACCGAGCTCGGCCTCCCGGCACACCACGTTGCGCCGCCCCGACCCGCCCCACCGGAGCACGCCCGCCGCGGCGACCATCCGCAGGGACTTGCCGTGCGGCTTGCCGCGCCCGCACTTGGTGTGCTTCTTGACGTGGGCGCCCCCGAGGACGAGCTGGCGGCCCAGCTCGTCCATGATCACGTCCTCGGCCTTGTTGAACGCCGCGGTGGCCCTCGCCAGGGAGAGCGCCGTCTCGCCGCGCGGGGTCCGGGTGTCGCACCGCGCGCCGTAGGAGATGAGGAGCTCGCACACGGCCGCGTGCCCTTCCCTCGCCGCCAGCATGAGCGGGGTGTAGCCGTCGCCGTCCGGGATGTTGACGTCGCAGCCCGCGCTCGCCAGGTGGCGCACCGCCGCGGTGTCGCCGCGCCGGGACGCGCAGTGGAGCGCGTAGAAGCCCCCCGGCATGCCCTTCTCCAGCGCGAACTCGAGCATGACCTGCTCGAACAGGTCCCTCTTCTTGCTCTGCTGCGCCAGCCCGATGGCCGTCTCGCCGCGCTTGTTGCTCAGCTTCACGTTGGCGCCGGCGAACACGAGCGCGCGGAAGGCGTCGACGTTGCCCTCCTTGGCCGCGGCCATTATCGGGGAGCACCCGTCCACGTCCTGCTCGTCGACGTCCACGTCTGGCTGGGCCAGGAGAACTTCCATCGCGGCGGCGTCACCGCAGCGCGCCGTGAACATCATCGGCGAGAACACGTTCCGGTCGCTCGACCGAGGGATCGTCCCGGACCGAATCACGCCAAGAACGGCGCGCTCGAAGCCGGCCTTCCAGCCCCCGGAACAAGCGACGGAAGCCGCGGACTCGCCGGCCGAGTTCAACAGCGCGACGTCCGCTCCGGCGGACACGAGGATCCTCAGGCAATCCTCGCGCTTGTGGCGCGCGGCGAGTATGGCCGCAACGTCGCCGCCCTCCGCCCTCGCGTTCACGTCGCATCCCTTGCCTATCAGCATCTCCAGGATCTCCGGCTGGCCGAGGCGCGCGGCCATGTGAACAGGCCTGGACCTGGAGCTCCTGGACGTCTTCACGGCCACCTCGTGGTCCACGCCGGACGCCAGCAGCGTCTGCACCGCGCCGGCGCTGCCGCAGAGGACGGCGTGGTGGAGGAGATTCCGGCCGAGATGGGTGGCGCCCGACGAGTACCCGTTCTGGAGGAGCATGCGGAGGATGGCGCCGGTGGACTCGTAGTACTCCACGGCGCACCAGACCGCGTCGTAGGGGTCCGCGAGGCCGGCGCCGACGCGCAGCTCCTCGCCGGTGGCCGTGTCCCATGACCACGCTCCCAGCCTCACCTTGGTGTCCCTCTTTACTCCGGCCTGGACATGAGATCAAAAGATGGTGTTAGTATAGCTCCGGCTGCTGAAGAGCAAGTGCGTGTGCTGCCAGCCCGCCACCAGTGGAGTGGTGCATACCTGAAGTAGCTGACGAACGACGGCGATTTGCCGGCTGACGATCGCGGCGAAGAGTGCCGTGCAGTCGACATTGGCATGCAGAGAAGGCTTCAGAGAGCGCAGGAGCACCCGAGAAGTAGCATTTGGGTCAGCTCCACACTGCGAAAAGATCAGACGATATTAGCTGCAGCAATTTAGTCGTGTACTAATTCAAGCAAGAACGCCGGCACAATTGTACTCTAAACGAATTGCAAATGTGAAACATATGAAGGGAGAAGGGCACAGGTGTACAAGTTAAAGAACCCAGATGCAAATGTAAAACATGTGAATGCCACAGGTGTACCGTGTACGAACTACGAAGTGCAAAAGTAGTATGTTTGAAGGACCCAAGTGCAAATGGAAAAAAAATTGAAGGGCACGGATGCAAAAAAATTTGGGTAAGATCCGCCGAAGCGGGTAGCCTTAACCGCAATGTGCTAGAGGAAAGTCCGAAGACTGTTCCCGTCCCTGTCAGGGGAGATGCCAACCGTCTCTCCTTTCTACGAACACGCTAGATGGGTTACCGCTTCGTCTTATAAACCAGTGCAAACGAGCAAGAATAAGCGAGGTGGGACTAAACCACAACACGGCTATCTGCTTCTCCCTATGGGCCACGGCCCATGTGACTAGGCACACTGGGCTCGACAGCATCTGGACTCTGCAAAACAGTACAACACCACCCGCAACGCTCGCTATCGGGGATCAAATCGTCCTGCACATCTTTAATCGCGCAATCTCATGGAACGAGAACGATGTCTCTACAGATGCATGAAGGCTATGAAGCCATGGAGCAAAGTACACACTTACCTTGATGAGCGAGTCCACCACGTCCACGAAGCCGCGGGCGGCGGCCGACACGAGCGCGTGCACAGCGACGCGAGGGCGGACGAGGTCGGAGCCCATGAAGATGACGGCGAGGGCGGCCTGCCCCTGCAGCGCCGCCTCCACGACGGCCTCCTCGCACGCCGGCTGCGACGCCCCGGCGCGCACCAGCAACGCCGCCACCTCCGCGCGCCCCTCCCGCGCCGCGGCCGTCGCCGGGTACCCACGGAACACCTTGCCGTTCACGTCCGCCCCCTTCGCCTGCAGGAGCGATGCACATTTGCGCCAAACATTAGACTGTGCTAAAGAATGTACTTCTGGTTGCTCTAGACACAAGTTTCTGCTTGTAATGATATGAACATAGCCAAAACGATAATGTTAGCACAAGTTGATCAAACAATTTTCTCAGATTTTGGACAGTAACTCAGCAAACAAGAACTGATATGCCTAGTACAGTTTCTCCTTTTACCGCATGCTCTCTCTTTCACCTACATTGCTCCACACACCGCGGGATAAGGGGTACCATCAGGATGGACCAACACAGTAGCACAGAACAGGGCACAACAACAGCCATCGGGACTTGGAAACATAGCTGGCCGAGTAACAAATGTCGCTGTTACTACTATGTCTGGTCAGGTCGGTGATGTGGAGACTTGGTAACCAATGGACTGGCTAGCCAGTCTGTGCAAGTCCTGTGGCAATGGCACTGTGCCATGATTCATATAGCAAGAGACAGAAGGGGCCTCCTACTGGAAGAAGGAATCTGGTCAAAATTCTGCAGGGTGATGCTATCCATCGATATATGAAATCTTGATGTGTGGTTTCACCGCAATGTCAGCTCAGCCTCGCTGAATACAGTAGTTGGCCACAGCTAACTGAAAATTATCTAAACTGGAACCATTTATCTCTTTCAACATCATATATAAGAATATTTAACTACCCATCCTTGAACATTTGCTCTTAGAGAAAATGAAGTTCACGGAAAGACAAATGGAGCAAGAAATGAACAATGCAGGCTCAGAAATAAAAGATGCTAGTCCTTTGGTCCTTGCTACTCCTACATTCTGATTCTGATGATCCCACCATCAGGACACATCATACAAATTGTAAACTCCTGCTTAACCAACCCTTGGCATTTTATCAAGATCCATCGGACAACAAGACAAGAGACGCATTCAATTCCACATCCAGGATTCTCATCACACAATAAATTCGTCGCACCACCACGAGTACAGTGCTGTGCATGCTGCTATTTACCACTCTGAAAACTCTGAACCGAGGTGATGTTCTCAAACAGCACTTACGTGGCACACTGGCATCCCCATGCCACCATCAATATTCCACCGGGGGCCATCAGGCCATGAGCACACGCGGGGCTGAGCAGCGGCCGGCATACGCAGATGCCCGATCGGCGAAGCCCCCACGGGCCGTACGCGAGAGGCGCTGTGCGTTGCATGGGCGCCAGGTGCGTGCAGCAGCAAGGGAGGATACAGCTGGCCGCGCGGCCGGCCGGTGGCAGGGGAAGCAGATGGCTACAGGGCAAAGAAGAACACGACACCGTCCACACATACGGGGTGCGCGAGGAGAGCGAGCGAAGGAGCAGCCATCCATCCGTACCCGCGTCGGCCCAGCCGATCGATCAGGCGCCGGTGTGGGGGCACACATCGATGCGTCGCACCTGGGCGGCGACGTGCGCGTTGCTGTCAGTTAATAGGGAGGCCCTTGGCGCTGCCTGCCGTGGAGGAGGCCGCGGCCAGATCGGGGCTATACTCCGGTGAGGAGTTGGGTTTTTCATTTCTAAGGCGTGATCAAATACAGCTGGTGCGGCTTGGACGTATTGGAAGCGGCGGACATCGGATCCGGTTACTTGGCTGTGTACCCAGGTGCAGAACATGTGAACTCACTGATGATGTTGCGCATGGCCAGAGCCCGGGAGACATGACATGAGCTGAGCTGCCGAGCGACGCTGGCCTTTGGATGGCCACCTGACCTCGGACTCTCGGAGTCAGTTCAGTCTATGGACTGTGGGTAGACAGGGAGATATTCCAGTGTAGAGGATGGAAGACCCCGGCGCA